ACACCACCTCTCAAAAGTAGTTCTCCCCACTAACCACCCTCCGCGAGTCAGACCCCACAGCCCAAACAACCACACCACGCACCTCGCTCGACTCTCCAGGCTCTGAACCCACCACACCACGGTCCCGGCCATCCATTACCGGATCAAAAGGCCTACCATGCTCGTCCTCCCCCTCGCCTTTTGCAAACCCATTCCCATTCCCATCTTTCGCTGCGCTGGTGCCCAACACATCCACACCCACATCACCATCGACACCCACTCCCTGCAATTATCCCCCATACCCCCATCCGCGCACCTGCACCGCTATAGTTCCCATGCGCTGGTGCTGCAACTGTCGATGTTACAGCCACTTGAGTACCTGGGGTCTATTGCCACCGCGCGAGGCAGACCTGTGTGGCTTGTGCGAGACGGCGTACTCTACGGGCTGCGTGGATAGTTATATGACGGTTGAAGAGGCGGGGAAGTGGCGGGGGATTGGGATACGGGGGAGGGTGGTGAGGAGGGGTGTATCCGGGAGTCTGGGAGCATGAGAAAAGGAGGAGGGGGGGTTAGATGGCTGATCTTTCTTGCTCGTGCTGGTGCTGGGGTGGGGAGGGATTAGTGTATGTTTATTGATGAAATGGGACTTAAGCGTGCATAGTTTTGGAAATGTAGAATTAGAAATGCAGACTTGACATTTTGCTGATATCTCAAACTAATTCGATGCCGAGACATATGTCATGCAATTGTAGCCAACCATACGCCATAGCAACAAAGTCCACCTCTCGCATATCCAACCATTACCCACACCCATCCGAGCAGTATCTCTCTATCATCAAACATGTTTGGTTGTGTGCCGTATATGCTGTTTTGATTGGTTATGCAGTAGCGCATGTAGAGTGGTCATAGAAACGCTGGTGTATCCTCTCGGACTAATCTCATTCCACCTCTCATCTTGCTACTCTCCAGCGCCGAGGTGCTCTTGCGCTGCTTCAACCAGTGATCTGCCATGCGCTGGCCGGGGGTGACGCTCCCACTGAGACTGGCAGGGCGCGAGGTAGACATGGTGTCGACAATACGCTCGTCTATGCTAGTCACTTCCTTCTCGGGGGGACCTCCAGAGATCTCAAGCTGCAATGCGGGGCGATGTAGTTCCGACATTGGGCGCATCGCAGTGGTAGGTACATTCGTCTTCCCATACTTGCGTGGGCTGCGAAGATCGAATGCACTTCTTGGCCGACGAGACAGATCATGTGTAGAAGCCGGGCGCAGGGTAGCATAAATGCGTGGTCGAGGTGGTGAGGCGGCAGGGCTCGAGTCATGTTTGGCATGCTTGATTTCTGGAATGCTGGACATGTACTGGCCTTTGTTAGGAGTCCTTTGATTGATGGCTGCTGTCGTAGACAGCGGTTGAAGAGACTTGATTTGTGCGGCGACAGCCAGTGGAGACACGGATTGATTCATATTGGCCAGCAGTGCTGGTGGTGTGATGTTCTCTTTACGTTTGTACATGGCATCACTACGCTTTAAGGCAATGTTGGACGCTCGTTGTGAAGTTCGCGTTGTACCTGGCGCAGTGAGATCAGAGTATATCCGGGGACTAGGTGTAGCCTTTGACGACTTGTCAGATGCAACACTTTCCGGCGGAGACTTTGATAGACGAGAAGATCTCGCGCTGTTACTGCTGGAACTCCGGCCTGTCTCGATATAGGGAAAACGCTCGTTCATCATAGACAAACGGGGGTCACTCGGAGGCTGCGAGAGTCTCAAATGGCGACTGGTTGTCGATTGTACCCGCGCTCTCCCAAGTAAAGGTGTTGGTGAAGGTCGCGTAGATGATGTAGCCATCCAGGCAGAATCGATCTCAATTGGGCTATGTGCTAGTGAAACCTCTTTATAGGTGTCCGAATGCGAACCAGATCTCTCTAGGACTGAGATATTGTCAACTGGGATTAACGGCTCATGAGAGTCAATCCGAACATCATGTTGAGATGTTGAATTCGAGGTGCTTGCAAAAGGCTCCGACTCGGGTCCTGGCCTTGGCGTGGTAATCTCGCATGATTCTCGAAGAATCACCGTTGTATCTCCATCTTCCTCCGTATGCGACGTGCGTAAGACCTGACGTCTGTGCTTACCTGAAGGTGTCATGAAGCGCTCATGAATCGACAAATCTTCCTGGCTACTAATCTCCATACTCGAGATCTCGTGAGATAGCCAAGCTTTCCAGTCGTGACTGGTGCGCGTAGAATCTCGGCGACGGGGAGAAGGGGTGCCGACCACATAACTTCTGACCGACTGGCTCGTCAGTATCACGGCTGAACCAGCATCATGTGATTGCTGGAGATCGCCAGGGGTATCTAGAGACATGTCACTGTCGTTAGGGAGAAGGCTCATCCCATCGGTGTTTCGCGAATATACGCTTGGAGACATTGGTGATAATATCGTGTGAGTTTTGGGTGTATCTTGGTTAGGCTGATGAACTGGCTTCGCATTTCGTAGTATCGCTTCCCTGGCAGCCAAGTGGCCATCCGTCTGTTGCTTGAAGTTGGTGACACTGTAGGTTCTGTTCGTTTCGCGTGGAAGTTGAAGCACCTCAGCTTCGTCCAAAGGGGTCTTCCATCGACCTTTTGCACGTTCAACACGTTGCTCAATTTGTGAGACTGAAGGTGTGTATGTGTGTATTGGATAGTCCAGATCGATACTCTCGAGACTGTATGATGTGAGTGCCTTCCTTGCCAGTTAAGCGTCGAGGAGCACTTACTTCGTAGTTTTATCGCTACAACTAGGGGCCACCTCATTATTATAATCTCTTTCATTGAGCATGGGTGCGGAAGCCGGGGGCAGTCTGTCTAGGCCATCTCCTAGATTACGGACATTATCGTCCGCACTGGAGGATTGGTCGGGCAAGGGTAAAGAGTTCTGCTCGGCAGGCGTGACTGTACGTATCGTTGATCGAATGACCCTCCCCAGTGATTTGATGGTGCTAGTCTTGCTTTGAACGCTATGCGCAGCAGCGCTGGCCGGCCGACGTGACGGAGGTCGGTGATCACTGCTCATGCTCGGCCTGCAGTCTCGACTAGCGCTAGAGTGCAACTCTCTGGCGATGCTGTGCAACTCTTTGGTAGCACTCGATTCAAAGACATCACTTTCTGCACCTGGTGTACGATCTTTCCGACCTGTCATGGGCTGTGGAGAATTAGAGGCATCAATCTCTTTCATCAAGGCAGAGAATACACGTTTCGGGTCCACTGGAGTAAGTGACTCTTCCGCTAGGCTATCCATTGGCATAGGGTCGCGAAATGAAACTAGGGCTGGCAAAGGTAGTGACTTCCTTTTGGGCACAAGAGAAGATGTCCGATCGGCCTCGCTGCCAATGCTGTCTTTCGCCTCATGGATGACGGTCAGTCGTTTAATGGCTCGCTGTGTCACAGCATCATCAGTCGCGGTCGTTCCCCAGCTTGTAACCCGTGAGCTAGACATATGTGTAGTATTGGACTCGCTGTGCAAACTTCGATTGCTCCTAGAACTCCCGTTACTGCTGGTCCGAGACCCCGAGCGGTTGAATGTGGAGCAAACAGCTTCGTAAGATGGTGTGCGAGCGCGTATGCGTTGTAACAGATTGTCGTGAGGGCTGGGTATGTCAGAGGTATCGATTGGACTTGCTATTCGAGGATGCATAGAACTGAAGTAATCACGACTGGCTTCGATCTGCTGGACTGGCAAGTTTGGCGATTTGGTCGAGGTGCGTCGAAATACTTTCTTGAGCCTGCTCCTTAGCGATCCAGAGAATGATCGTTTCTCCTTTGGCTCAGTCGGTGGGTTGAAGTCCGTCAGGGTGACATCTGCGGTGGAATCATCTGGGGTTTGTTGGCTGCCTATCGAGCCAGAGATCATACTAATGGCTGCGCGCTTGCCTTTGTCTTTGCGTTTGTCCTGTCTCTTCTTAAAGGTTGTGAGGAACATCGACGGCTTGTGCTTGACAGTCTTGTCTTGGAAGTTCTGTAGATACCTGTCTCTTGCCGTGTCCACATTCTCGTCAGCAGCGACAGTGACTGGTATGCGTGTCCCTGCAAGAGGCGATGGAACCGCTGATGCCCGTATCGGCGGAAGTGCAGGTAGAGTTTCCGTTTTAGGTATTTCACTGATAGGAGGTGGCGTTGTAAGATATTTCGCTGGCGGTCGCGCGATAGGAGATCCGGTCTGCACACTGCTGGCATAATACATGGAACGCGCCTTTCGAATCTGCTGTGAAGTAGCCGAGGAGGAGGCACACTGCTGATAGGCCTTTGACTGAGAGCGAGGCCGAGCCTTTTCACCAAAATTGATGGATGTTTGTGACGACAAAGGTCGAGATGAAGACACTGGCCTCTCACTATTCGAGGTGGGGCAGAACGGCGGGAACTGCTCAGTGATCATGGCAGTAGGCCTGGATTGACGGCGTACACTTGTCGACTGACCAGTATTCTGACCTTGCAAAGACCGTAGACTTGATTCTCGAGGGGGAAAGTGACTGCCTTGCGAGGTCAGAGACTTGCGACTCCCGTTGCTCTTGGACCTTGATATGTCAGAGCCGCGCTTCGATGTACGGTCCACTACATCCTGGCCCTGTGCTCGTGCAAAGGCAGCTGTGGCGGCTGCTAGAGCCTGTTGTTGAATGGCATCCAGATCGAGAGGCTCCGAAACTGGCGGAGCGGGCCTGTGGGCTGTCGATGTAGACTTGGAACGACGGAGACGTGTTCCCGCATCGCTTGATGCCCTGGCCAACATGTGAGCTGCAAACCGAATAAAACTAGGTGTTGCTGAAGTAGAGTGGTAAGTCGGTGGGTCCGACGTGGTGAAGCACAGCTAAATGAAGTGTTGACAACGTGTAGCAGGATTGGCGGTAAAGGAGGCACAATACACCATGGAATGGCGTAGTTCGGGGCGGGTTTGAAGGTAAAAGAGCGACCGAAGCTGTGACGACACGACGTGAGGCGGAAGGCAGACTGTTGATCTTGCGCCTTCTTGCCTGGGTGAAGCAGTCGTCACGAGACATCGATGGGTGGCCAACTCGGGGCAGGAGCAGCCTTATTCAACGAGAAGTCCTTTCTCCCCACTCAATCTCCAGCAGAAGCGAATATCGTGAGATTCTTCTGGATTCTTGGAGTTTTATTTTGATCATCTCGAACTCAAGAAATAGATCTTCTAATCGCGCGGTCTTCCAGGCCAGAAGTCATCGCTCGTTCGGCACCATCCACATCACCGCCAACATCCTCATCGTCGCGCCTCACTTCCATATACGCAACTTCTTTGTCCTTGAAATCAATCAGGAAATTGGCCATGGTCATCGCCGCGAAAAACACAACAGACATCAGAAAAGGCAGTCCAGTCCATGCACTTCCCAGATCCATGCCCCACTGAAACATCTGGCTCAACATCGGTCCAGCCACCATGGCACCGAAGGCTTCCGCAATCGCAATGGTACTCATGAGCTTACCAACATCGGGGCTTGACTGCCCGCCGACTACATGAATGGCGATGGAGCGCATGGCTGCGCTGTAGCCTGTGCCGAGATTGAAGATGAGGAGACCTATAACGAGGAGTGCTGGGTAAGCGGCAATGCCCATGACAAAGAAAGAAATGGTAGTGAGAATGATGGAACCACGAGCTAGGTACAGATCCGCCCAGTGCGCTGGGAGACGAAATTTCTTCAACAACACAAGATTAGTGAGGGGAATGAAAACAGTAATTGCGACGAGATTGGTTGCTGCACGGAGGGACAAGAGATAGGCAGCCTTTTTGATCTCCCAGCCATAGCGTTTCGAGGCGTAACGAACGATGAGACTAAGCGACTGGCTACCGAGTCTGTTCGCCATGAAGGTAAAGACAACCAGGGCCAATGTCCAGTCGCTACGTAAGAAGATAATGGCAGTGCGGAAGTTTTGTATCTGCGATCTGATTGTGAAGTGACTGCCTGTTGGCTTGACAACGACTACCTCCTCGACACCGTCTTTGGGTTCTGGTAAGTCGCGCATGTGCAGCGTCTCTGGGACGACAAACGCAAGACTAATGCCAGCCTGCTGAATGGCCAGTGCCAGGACCAGCGGGAACCAGTCACCATGATCCATAAGGCGTGCTGCAAGTATGGGCGCCATCATTTCCGAGACCAGCACGGTTGCTGTCAAGTATAGGAAGATCGAAGTTCGCTTTTCAGGAGGCACAATGTCGGAGAGCATGGTGATGCCAATCGCCATAGCCACAATAGGGCCGCCGCCGATGAAGAAGAAGAGGCTGGATAGCCAGGTCCACTGAAGGGGAAGAGTCTTGAAATAGCCTATCGCTGTCAGCTGGTGCCCATAGTCCATATCCATATCTCGCTACCCACATATCAGCAGCGCCCAAGCCGAGTTGAGCTGCAAGCCCATCAGACTAGCCGCAAATATCCATTTCCTGCCTACTCTGTCCGCCATGGTGCCCAAAGGCACAGCCAAAAGGATACCTGGTATCGCATCAAAGGTTTCTTGCCACCCAAAGATCATGGCCAGCTTCTGTTGTATCTCGTCCAACTTGCACAACTTCTCTGGTATCGTCCCATCGTCGCCAATCACCGAAGGGTCGTGTTCCTGGTAGTAACCAAGGCAGATGTTCGCTTCGAAAACACGCGTTTTGGGGGGGTCCGCGAGGAAGGCGCCGATGTCGATGATGGAGACCATGGCAAACACGAGGATCACGAAGAGAACCCAGGGCTTCTTCTTCTTCTTCGCGACCGTCAGCGGAAGCTGCTCGGGCTCAAAGGCCGAATCCACCAGGGAGAGGAGGGGATCTCCTTCCATTTCAATGGATTCCCGTGGCGAGTATGGTTGTACTGCCATTGTGCTGACTTCTCGGCTATAAAGCTGGCAGGAGCTGCGATTTGTGGGGAACCTGATCACTCAGCGCGTACCGGTAATGATGAAACTTGGAAGCAAGAAGATAGGTACGCCTTGAACAAGAACAAAGGAATGGAAACTGCAATGTTAGCAAGTGTGGTCAGCCATGATGATGATTTGGAGTATACGCGCAACTTTTTGGACCGAGACATCGTCGCCTCGGTGTCAGCGCGGTGGTATTTTGATGGATGTATCCATGCTTGTCCCATGCTTGTCTGGGCACAGTACTCCGTACCGCCTGTTGCATGGGTTGTTTCGAGCAAGCAGGCATTATTATGTCAGCCGCTACCGGTAGTGCTTCCAACCAACCGTTCTTAACCTCCTCGTCACAGGCTTTCGACGTTCAACACCTCAAGTGATGAAATAGCGTTCCTCGGATTCGAGTCTGCAATTTTTTGTTGATTGCATTTCCTTTACAAGTGCAGTCTGACCGTCATGGCGAAGAGAGTATCTACGCAATGGCCCCATCACGGCGCCAAGACGGCGTGCCCCTGTGCACAGATGTCACAGTACAACGATGAACTTTAAGTTATATCATCCAAACAACGAGCACTAGGGCTGACGCTTTTCCCTTGCCCTAGTGTTCCAAGCGCTATATAGTAGGTATTGTTAAGTCATCGTACTCGTATGGCCCATCCAAGATTTCTTAGGTAGGTCTACCGGTAGCGCCTTGGCATAGGTATCTAAGACTCCCAAGGTTGGCTTCAGCCTCCAGCTTCCTTTACCATCTCACACGTATGATAACACTTACACTTATGCACTCCCAATTTATAGTCCTCCACGCCCTAAGCTTTCTAGAATGGTATAAAAATAATCTTCCCATCTAACATGTTTGCCATCCACTCTCATCATGTAACACTCGCCCTCTCTCCTCACTCGAATCAACAAGCTTCCTAGACAATATCCAATCACTCTCTATAGCAACAATGCGGTCTGCCACTGTCAAATCTTCCCAGCGTTCTCGCCACTTGCGGTCGGGAAACGCAGCCTGCCAATATTTGCAAATGGCGCTGCGAGGATCATGAGTGCAGTGTTGATAAGTTTTGTGTGATAGGCGCAGTGTGCCCGTTGATTGCAAGGCTACAATTACCAGGAGGTTGGTGTCATTTAGTGCACTTATCCATGAAGCATGACATTAGCTCATGAGTCCTAGGGGCGCGCTTTTCTCCTGCGATATTTCCTCCCTCTCTATATACACATTTACACACCAGACACTTGGAAATAGTGCATTTCACCGTTTATGCCTAATGACGAAAAATGGACTGGGTTGGTCGGCAAGGACACAAGGTCATAATTTGGGCTTTGAATCCCACTGAGCAAGTTCTGTCGCTCTTCTGGCATGCTACAACGCCACAGACAACGCAGCCTTACTCGATCGGTTCAAGCAGCCTCTCTCTGCATCTTCCGGATGGGCTACTACCTCTGTGAGTCCCCTAAAAGACTCTTATAAACGCCTTAATACTAATACATCCCTAAGTAATATACAAAGTACTCCAAAGAGCTGTTACTTCCTAATAAAATATAATTAGTATCTCCCTTTCTTACATATTAATTTGCCCTTAGAATCTAGAGCCTTGACTTACTTTTACTTAGTCTACCTTTACTATTAAATTAAACTATTAAGATAGTATTTACTTAAAGATAGCTCTAAGTATTGAGTAAGGGGAGACTACTTTACCTAATATATGAACACTAGGTAGTAGGTAGTAAAGATAAAATAGATGGAATCCCCAACAAGGTATAGTGTGCCATGTGCTTCTCAGGCCTATACAGCTTAGATCTATAGAGTGAATATTACAAAGCTATCTATCGCCCGACTCCACCGTTCCTCCTCAGTAACTCGATTATCACCCCCGTCGACCCCACCCACCACCCAAAGCCATGGATGCACTCACCTGCGAGATGCGCGACTCACCGGCAACCATCCACTCTGTATTGATCGATAGTGAAGATGGCATTAGCCATGAAATAAACTTGTAAATTAAGAACAAGGGCTCCTACTTTCACGATACACAAGACAGATCTCCGGAAGCCGTACCCAAGCCCCGGTCATCAGCGCATCCTCCTACCGCCCTCTAACCGCCTCCCCCCATTTGCAGTACTTCGAGAACCTTCTCACGGGGCTTCCACAGCACTGGATGTGGTAGCAGCACAACTTCCGCGGCGCAGGTAATGTCCATGTCTAGCAGTCAAAAACTTGCAGCTCCTAGATGGTTATAAACACCTGTTTCAGAAACGTCAATACGATTCTGCTGAAAAGGGGCGCGTTGATACCCATCCTCGTTGCCCTTGTTTTTCTGATCTGGAAGAAAGCTTGTCTCAACCTCACCGCCAACTTCATTGCCGACTCGCCGATCTCAATGTTAAACAGCCTTATCGGAGTGATTCTCATGTAGACAACTCCGATCAAACCAGCGGGGAGTCTGAGACAAGCTCAGCTCCTGGAATGGTCATCTCTAGCAAGGAAAAACGAAGTTGGAAACGCCCTCGCGTATCTTGGGGATGGGGACTCTAGATACATGCAGCGCATGTACCAATATCGCCACATGACAAAGAATTTCTATATACTTATATGTGAATTGAGTCAGTATACTAGGTCCAGCGATACTATGTGGACACACAAGATAGTGAATAAAGCCGTCCAATATTCTAAAACCATCCATACGGATACGTCTAGCTATCAGGTTCTCAAATCTCCCCTTCAGTATGCAAACGCACTAGGCAGGTTACTTTGCTAAAGGTTTGCAGTGAAGTCGGGAGAAAGAAGCTCTATATGAAAGCAGAAGAAGACATTTTTCATTTGTCGGATGCTGTGTATGGGCAAGAGAAGATGTTATTTATTAAAATCCACAAATTTCATACTTACTCACGCGATCTGATTGACAATCGTGCTTTCAGAGCTCCTGCACGTAGGGGATGATAATGCAGATCGTATCATATGAGATACAGCCGTGTTATGTGCGGTATTACTTGGGTGGATGTACTTATGCAGGTACTAATTTTCCTGACCTTCACTACACTTTCTGTACACTCTGTGCTAATGCACACTAAATGTATTATGAAGTTAGTAGCCTAGTAGGCAAAAGATTATCGTATCCAATCGCCTTCACTTATGTAATATTACCCTGAACAAACGCTCATGCATATAGAATCTGCCTTCCATTTGAGAGGACGGCAGAGCAAACGCCATGTCCACTATATATTGCAACCCGCACTGCCATTTTCTCCTGCGACCCTCCACGCACGAAATCAAGTACATTACCTCGATAATATTTTATATTTTCGAGTTTACTATTTGTGCTCTCCAGATTCTATACCGAAAACTTCAAAGTCTCATTGCACGTCGATTACATCACGGCCTTTGAACCACAGCAGCCACCCGCCAGACATTCAATGTCCTACAACAACGAGACTGCCAGCCCTGCTTCTGGAAAGAACTCAGCTCAGGGTAAAAATAGAGGTACGAATTGTTTCCCTAACACCATTTACGACCATTGCTGTATATTCACACACTTGTAGCAATCACTGATGTCGCCACTGGCGCTCTGGCTGCACGCTTGCCTACCAGTGTTAGTATACACGACCATCTGGACCTTCCGAATGACGCTAAAGATATTTACCTAGTCCCACAAGAAGTTTGACGATGACATGTCGATGGGCTCTTGTGGAGAGCAGGACCGCAGCCATGCAATCAGCATGCTGACACCCTGTCCCAACAGGGGCGCCGTCCCGGGATTTGATGAATCTGCGGAAGTCTCCTCGCCGAGTGCCGCCAATGTCTCCATTCTGCGGCTTCACGCCGTCTTGGGCATAGGTAGGTATACAGCCTCAGTCCACCAGCCAGTCCACGCACTAATATATCGCAAAGCCCAACCTCCATTTCCATCGACGCGGAGCGCGTCGCACCAGGTGCAAATCCCAGCCGCCCTGGCTTTTTGAAGGGTGTCGTTTTCAAATCCTCCAACAAGGACGAATGGCTCACTATCGCGCTCCCGCACATCGCCACCCTCACCTTCACTATCGCTTCTATTGCTAACCTCATCTTTGCCGGCCCCCTCTTCTCCTCCCCCGAACTCCCCAATCTCTACTATGGCATCACCAAGTTCGCCTTTCCGGGCTTCCACTGGTTCTCCGGCGTCACCGAAAATCGCGCAAGGAACCCGTTCCTGAACATGGCTGCAAATCTGCCACATATTGAGGACATTGCTCTGATATGCACACCACCGGCATTACAATGTCGTGCTGGACAGAGAAGCAGCAGGTGGAAATTGAGCGCGTCGATGCGGCAAGATCACTGGAACGCAAGATCATGATGCTATCGGATGTAATTACCAAATACGACTTCGAGGCAATACTTCGCTGCACTGCGCTGGAAAAACGTCTACATTGAGTATTTGGAGTCGCAGCTTGTGGCTGAATCTTGTGTCAATGGTAATCCGATCAATGTGCTCAGGGAACTTCAGATGTATTTGTACGAGGGTTTTGCGTGTGCGCGGATGGAGGTCCAGGTGGTTTGGCTAAGAAGTGTTGAGATGATGCAGTGTGGCTAGAGAGGAATGGTATGAGATTAGTGGTTGATGGGGGAAAGCAAATATACTGGATTTTGGGATGGTGGGTGTTTTTAAGTTGGATGATGGGGTTCAAAAGTTCAAACCTATTTCGAGGCCCTCCGGGATCAAATGAGATGGTAACATGTATGCAGACTCACCACATATAGACTCCATAATGCATCGTGGCAACTGGCATGTGACCAAAATAGCATGCCAGGACACAGTTCACGTGCAGATTATCGAAATTGATAATAAATGCAAGAAATGCGTTCATAAATGCAGTAAAGTACAGAATTATGTAAATCGGATAGGGCATGTCATGAGTGCGCAATACATTATATGCCATGGAACAGTCAGTGTAAGCTGCAAGATAAATCTCAAGACATGTCATAATCACATCAACATACATTTGTACCTTTGGTCAAACAATCTCTAAGATACCAACCAATAGCTATAGAAGAACTAATCAAGACACCGTATCGCCTATCATCACCCCTAAACCGGATTCAAACATCCAAAAGAGCAAAATAACAGGGAATATGTTCTCGTACATGCAAAACAGTAACAACTTTTAAACAATCATCGCCAAAAACAAATATATACGTAGCCAGGAGTTCACTCCCCAACACCTCAAAGCCGACGAACCAAACCCTCATCATCCCCCGAATTCTCCTCACGTCCAGACTCCTCATACAGACTCCTAAACCAGCTGCCCTGGCGCTCCAACAACTGGTACGGCCGACCGTACTCGACCATCTGCCCCGAGTTCATTACAATGACCTTGTCAAAGTCCAGAATGGCATCGAGTTTATGCGCGACCGCAACAAGGGTATGGTGAGGAAACTTGGCGCGCAGGAGGCGCTGAACATGAGCATCGGTGGCTGCGTCAAGGTTACTGGTTGCTTCGTCGAGGATGACGATGCTAGCCTTGTCTTTGCGCAGCATGGCGCGCGCGAGGCAGAAGAGTTGACGTTGGCCGTGGGAGAAGTGTAGGTCGTCCACTAGGACGTCCAGAGGGTGGGGGTATTTGTCTGCATCGCCTTTGGCGATGATGATGTCCCAAAGCTGCACGTCTTTGAGGGCCTGCATTATGGCTTTGTCGTGACTTTGTCGCGTGGGATCAGCGTTGAGGCGGATTGAGCCAGGGAGGAGGTAGGCGTCTTGGGGGAGGCCAATGAGGCGGGAGCGGATAGTTTGGCGGGGGATGCGGTGGAGAGGGAAGTTGTCGATTGTCGCGGTTCCGGCGGAGAGTTCGATCATGCGGAACAGGGTGAGGACGAGGGAGGATTTTCCGCTGGGGAAGATTTAGTCAGGCATTCGAGACGTAGTTGGAGTATGGAGCTTACCTTCCGGTGCGGCCAACGATGGCGACCTTCTCGCCTGGCTTAATAGACAGAGAAAAATTAGAGATGACAGGCTCTCCAAGTCTAGAGTCGTAGATTAGTATCTTGCGCGATACAACATCGCATCCTGTACACACCTGTGGCAAGCCTCGATATTCTTGAATTCAATTTTACCTGCGCTTGGCCAATTGGGAGGCGGAATACTATCCTCGCTCTCATCAGACTCAGTCACCGCATCAGTCGTAAAGTTTTTAATCCTTGCCACACTACCAATGTGCGTTTCAAGTTGTGTCCAGAACGAGATCAACAACTTGATACTCTGTGAGAACAGAACGACGTTGAGTAGCGCAACCCCGACATAGCCAGCGCTGAGTTTACCTCTCAACGCGACCACAAGGATGATGAGAATTGTAGCGACACCAGCCACTACCAGATCCAGCACGAAGGTCAGCCAGCGCTGAACTGCAAAGAGAAGGTAAAAGGGACGCTGACTGCGGTCAAGTAGCGCTTTCGCCTTTTCTTCCACAAAGCCTTGCCAGCCAAACGCACGGATCGTAGGCAGTCCGTTGAGAATCTCCGTGAACTGACTGTACAGTGGCGACTTGGCTTCGAGATCCAAGAAACGAAGTTGACGCGAAGTTCGAAGGTAGAACATCTGGATGAAGTATACTGTAATACCAACGATTGGAAATGATATCGCTGCAAAAGGCGCAGCGACAGCAATAAGAGCCATTTGACCAATACATAGAACAAATGCTGTATTTGATTAGTCCCATCTCGTCTGATGAGTTTCAAGGGCAGTGAGAACGTACTTGCAAACGTATTCAATGCTGCGACGGGCAGCTCCATATCAATCAGCATAAGATCTTGGCTAAAGCGGTTCAATGTCACTCCGCTATCAGTAGTTGAAAAGAAGGACATGGGCGATCTTTACTTTGTCAGTTTGCGGGGTATGCATATAAGTGACGTCTCACTTACCCAAGAACAGTATCCAGGAGCTTTTGATGGAAAATGACTCCAGAGCGCGGGACCATGGTAATGATGAGTTGCCTGAGTTCAGTGAGCAGCGGTTGTGTATGAGTGAGTTGGAATTCTTACCAACAGCTGACAATCAGGAAGAAGAGAGAAAGACCACCTAGCATCGCATAAATACCGAGATAGTAACCAAGACGCTGATTCGGGTGTTCTTCGTTGTATTCAGCCCACATCTTCACCCAAATCGCTGCAGGACGGTTAGCAGACGTTCGATTAAGTGTTTCTTTCATACTCACAAGGGAATGATATGCCAAAGATAAAGATGACTATGGATACCATGAAGATCAATGTCGGGATCCATCCAACATTTCTGATATAATAAAGGTAGATGGCCGTGTCACCAGTTCTGCGATTCGCTTCCGCCTGGATATCATCCTCAGTAATCTTGGTGTCCGATACTTGACGTTCCGTGTACTTTGGGGGAGCCTCGTAGACGTGCTTTTCCGGCGAGTAGTCCCAATCAGGGGGTGGAAGATCGAACCCTGAAACATAGCCACCCGAGAGATTGAGTTTCGCAAAACTACCTTGTTCTACGATTGTACCCCCGCCACCAAGAGCAACGATATGGTCACTATAAGGAAGGCGTTTTGCTGTAAAGGAGTGATCAGCATGAGAACTGCAGAATATAACCGCAAGTTACTTACCAGATGATGACGCGATCAATACAGTTGTTCTGCATCGCTTCAGCAAGCCATCGCGACCAAACAGACCGTGCCAAATACGATTCTCGGTCTGTCCATCAAGTCCGCTTAGACAGTCGTCGAGGATGATGATGTCTTTCTGAGCGTACACTGCTCGGGCAAGGGCCTATCAATGCAGTCAGTACGAACCCCAAACGGAAGGTGGGGTGAATATCTTGGGTAGCTCACTATGCGTTGGCTCTGACCACCACTTAATGCGATACCCTTGCTGCCAATCTGGGTCTGGTCTCCTTGGGGCAGTTGGCGTAGATCTTCATCTAATGCGCAACTCCGAACGACCGACGAATACCATCGCTGGTCGAAATCTGAGACACCGATAATGCTCTCCTGAACCGTGCCGTTCACGTGCCATGCAGTTTGGTCGCATAATGCGATGCGCAAAGACGACACCTGCAAGGTCCCTCCCATTACCGGCAGCTCTCCCAGAACTGCCTTTAATAGAGTAGACTTGCCACACGCTACTGGTCCCACGACCATGGTAATCTTTCCGCGTGGCACGATCATGTTGATCGCATGCAAGATGCCTGTATTGTGATTTGCCTTGTCCCACCCAAAGAACCCGTTTTCAATAACTATGGCCTGGTTGCCAAGTAGATTTGGTTCTTTCAACTCCAACGAAGAGCGGCTCTTATGTGATGTGTCGGAGTCCTTTTCAGACTCACTGTCTACATCTGATACCCACGCCAGATTACTGCCGTGTGGAGACGGGAATCTGCGTACCCCAGCCTTGCGCTTCATAGAGATGAACTCTTGGATTCTTTTGAAGGACCCCAAGCCCCCCATCAGAGCTGATAGTGCCATGATAAGTGAACCAAGCGGCTCAGTCAACAGGGTAAAAAGAGAAAGAGACGTGAATACTGTTGCTGTGTTGAGTCCGCTACCGCTATCATTGCGTGCGATGATTGAAAATACTGCGAAAGCGAGAATAGGTGACACAACCGGTGAGATGTAGGCTGCGAAATGTAAGCAAACGGACGAACACCCTACCCAATAGAGACCTACAAAAGCCCATAGTCCAAATCAAAAGTTTCCTGAACTTCTTCGAAATGTTCATCTCATCGATGCGTAGTTGTTGCAGGTCTTCTCGAAGGACCTCTGTCAACCCGCCCATTTTCACACCCTTCATGGAGTCGAGCATTGCACTCGTCGCTGCAATGCGGCGTTCGATGGCCTCCAACCAAAGAGCTTGCCTTTGCATCACGAGACTTGTGGCGCACAGGGAGCCCAATAGGGACACTGGATAAGTGTAAGTTTAGTGTCAAAATATCTCAGCAACCCTCACTTACCAATGGCCACACCAATGGGAATCGCGCATGCCACACCTAGTTGTCGTTCCAGTAGATACATTGCTAACGCGATTTCGAGAGTATTGGCCCATAGCTGCGCGTTGATGTTAGACGTTGAGATGCGCTTGTTTTACGTTCAATTTGAAGAACCCATGCCTCTAAAATATGCTCGGACTCTTGAGTGAGTTACCTCCGATAAAAGTCCGATAAAAGTTGAAATCCACATACCTCGTGTCCAGTCTCCATACCAGTAACAATTCGCTCCACGTCAGCGCTCATCAAGGTGATAGACGAAGCAGTATCCACGTCTACCAATGCAACCTCGGTAGCCTTGCTGTAAAGCATTGAGATAAGGCCGCCACGAATCATCGTAATAAATCTGAATGTAAAATGCATATATTGTCCCGAGGATACCTAGGTATTCCTTCAGCGCATCATTCATGAATGCCAACAATCTCAAATTGGCTTACCGCGATTCCGACAAAGACCAGGATGTATGCACCGATCAAGCCATAACCGATGTTGGTCGTCTCGCTTGAGGTGCTCTGCTGAGAGAAAGTAACGGCTCTGTTGATCAGGAACGGTTGGCAGAAGTTAAAGCCAATAAGGGCCAGTCGCGGAGGCACGACTGCGAGTACAGGCCATTTGAGCCTGTTCATTGTTGCCAGAAATAGCGAATGAGAACCGCTGTTGTGCACTGGAGATGCATAAAATGTCAGTTGTCCATTGTGTAGGGACCTTCGTGAATAGTAGCCAGACATACCTTTACTCCATGCTGTGCCCAGTGCCTCATGCAAATACTCCGCCTTGAGGTGTTTGTCTAAATGGAAAAGGTCATCTAAACCTATCGAGCTCGAAAACCCTTTCTTGAAAAGTTCGTTCAGCCACCAGAATGAAGCGCTTTTGTAGATTCCACTCGTAGTCTCGCTTGGAGAATCGACATATTCTGGTAGCAGCAGTTTTCGTTTCCCTCTGGCTTCAAAGATTGCTAGAAGAATCTTGATGGCAAGACGCGTCGTAAATATTGTAGCAGGAAGGTCTAGTTCAGGTGTGAGTGAATAGCTACGGGAGCGTGCAATGTCGAAAATGGAGGTGAAGAGTAGGTACACGTTCAGAATAAACGATGGCTTGACAGTGCGAACGTGCTCGAAGAATGAAAGGACAGTGAGTACAACTGCGCCAACAAAGTCGATGGCAGCTGAAGCAAGCTCTACTTGATTTTGTTGTGTTGAGCGACTCGCCCAGACTATGAGTAAGGCAAGTTCAAAACCTAAGAAGATGATCCAGGTAATCTACCAGGTACTTGTTAGCAAGTGAAGATATAAGATTGCAAAATGAACCTACTGCTTTGGTGTACAGCAACGAATTCCGTGTAACCTTTGTCGACTTTTTCCAAAGATATAATATTCGGAAGGGCGCGACGCAGAGAACGATGGCCAATGGCGCTATGGAAAGAAAAGATTCAGTGAAGAGAAGAGTGAAGTCAAATCCTCCTCGACAATTTGGTCCTGCCCAAGGGCCTATTGTGTTGTCCACGGACGCACAGTCTCGAGTGTTCTTCGACGTCATTGAATCGGTGTATGGGCCAGATATGGTCCGTCCATTTAGGGGAGACGATGTTAATGATCCAAGGGTTGATTCGGAAGTTGAAACTTTGGCATGAACTCGAGACAATGGTCTTCTTTCCTCTCTATCATCAGATCACCCAAAAGACAAAAAGATGGAGAGCTCCAGCAATACTCTGGCAGGCATTCGAGATCACTGCCTAGACAGTGCGGCCCTCTGAACCCCATGCCCTGCATTCCAAGACCCGAAAGGTATGGGGTCATTGTGGACACTGATGATCCATTAGACAAGACTGCTGGGCTCAGAGTTACGTGGCTCTTGGTGAGCTGAGCAAAACGCTAACTTTCAACGACATCGGCTCGACCGAATTTTCCACGGTACGAGGATCGTCATTGTGCTTGGGCTATAGGTAGTACAAGAGTGATTAGGATCCAATGAAACATTTTTTCACCCCTGAACATCCGCCGGTAGTTGGAGGCGCAAAGCGCCGCTTCCAAAACCTGGTGCAGAAGCTCATCGGAGTGCATGCATGGATGGTGTAGGCCGCATACATAGTCCAGGATGGTTAGGATTAATACACACCCGCTTTAGCCGCTTTTGGATCCAGATGAAGAGTAATGATCACCGTTAGGCCCCTTACCTGTAATCTAGCATTGGATGACGTTGGGTCGGAAGAGCTTAGATCCCCGGTCTTAGTTGCGCTACCACGCTGTCATCTTGGCACACCAGTCGCTGGACGCCGGTTGATCACCAGGATCTTTCGTCGATCAGACCCAATTAGTACTGACAGGCAATGTCGCGAGGAATCATATCCTTAGCTGCCAGCCTCCGTTTGCACATTACCTAAGTAAATATGTATAATGAAGTCCTTCACTAAAGGCGATCAATCGCGCATCATACCAGGTTGCGTACCGATGTCAGAATGCGAAGTATCAAGGTTTGAGAGGCCACTGCATCTTACAGGTCGCGGCGACAAGAGGGTTCATTATGCGTCTCGATAGAATAATTGTGAGGTAGCATGATCTGTTTCCTGTACCCATGGTGTACAAGGGAAGCATGGCTCATACCCGCTAGGGTAGCTTGATGTGGATACAACTACACAGAGGATTCGTAGCTTTGCTTGATATAATCTAGACTACTCCTTCTCGTGTGCTAGTCATGTACGTAACACAATGGCGCTCTTCATCACTGCTGAGGCCAAGAGCGGAACAGTTTTCAGCCACCTTTGAGAATTCTGAACAGAAAGTAGTATGGTATAGCCCAGAAGACAACGGTTGTGGTAATTCATCCGACCGTAAGTGGAAGCCAATGCTTGAGGATGCTTGGTGGACGGCGAAGCTAATTGTGGACAAACGTGCTTCGCAAGTTCGGATGCTGCAGGGCGATGGCCCTAGTTCTGGTACCTAGGCCAACAACGACATAGTTCGACGGTGAGTGTAATATTTCTTTCAGATAAGATGGGAGTTCATTTCTTCGCCTCTTGTAAAGCAGTTGATATAAGCTTACATTGCTTCGGAAGCGCATGTTCCACAACGCATGTGGTGATCAGGTCTGCACTATGTGAGCAGTGTGGAAATGTTGTGTAGCAAGTATGATATCATGGGGCTGTCCAATTCTTGGGTGGCCAGGAGGTCGGCGGGCCTGAGGAAGTCGAAATCCCTGCTGAGTGCCTTTCTCGATAGGATCCACACATGGGCTCATGGTATGAGGACCGGGGTCGTGAAAAGCCAGTTTTTCCCTGTGCGACTTTTTCTAAATATGCTCAACCCGCTTACCCGGTGTAAATGCGCGCAGAACCCATCGAATGGTCCATAGCTACCAAGGCTCAATCAACATTTGATCATCCTTGAGACTTTGTGCAATTTTAGATGGACCGGCTAGGTGGGTAAGTGCCTATGCATCCATTCCAGGCAAAACGAGGAGCAAAAGCACAGACATAGTATTTAGCTGGTACGACCCATATGGATAATGTGAAGCTGACAGGATATTTGACTAAAATAGTCGGTAGCGTTGATATTCATGTACCCCACAATCGGCGGACCATTGGGAAAAGCGTCTGCGCTGATACCCATTACAGAAGCATTCTGCAATGGGCCGAAGTAGAAGCGGTTGCGGACCAGGGTAGGGTCCCACCTGCAGGAGAAAAGTTGGGGCAGAGTGAGTAAGAGCAGCACCACCAGTGCTCGCTTTGAGTTCGTATTCGATGAGAAGTGGTGACGGTGGTTGATGGCGAGGTGGTGAAATGGTACAGGTCAACGGGGTGACTGGCCGTGGCAGAGTTCTGTTGAGAGTAACACCTAGAGCTCACCGCATGAGCACGTACTGTATGCAAGTGTGCAAGTGGCAAGTAGGCGTCCATACTGTTACACTGATCCCAGAGTTGCAGAATGTGGAGCGGTAGGAGCCGAAGGCCCACAGGTGCAAAAGCATTGCACAATGCATACCGTAGGTGCCGACTATTGTAAAATCCAGACCAGAACACTTTCTACGATATACAATACGACATGGCAGTGCGGGAACGGGACGTGGTGGTGACGGCCCACACGATAAAGGCGGCTGTGGCTCTTGCTTCCGGCGGTGGGTCGTCACGCAGCGCCGCGGGACGGGAGAACGAGTTGGTGGCATGACACCGTCCACCCGGCTTTCGCGCCAATGATGCCCATGCAGGTGGAGAGAGATGCGCTGGAGTTGGACTCAGCTGAAGAACGAGGACGTGGCGTGCATAGCTTGCCGTGGCGTTTACCCACGTGACATGGGTTCTAGGTAGCAAGCCTTGGAAGCCCTTTGCAAGGCTAGGTACCCATGAAAGCTGACAGCAGACCCGGCATACCATCACACAGGTAGTACAGTGACCAGGGGGATAGTGAATACACGGCGGGCATAGCAGCGGAGAATGTGCATCCGCATCCGTTGGCATTGACCGGTTTTGGCTCAGGTCCAGACATGGGCAGTTCGAGACCGTGCCTGGGGGTCATTGCGGGAGTCACGTGACACACACGCCCTGACCCGCTTTTCCGCCTCTCTCTTCTCTAGCCTCAACTACAACCTAGTAGATGGACTCGTCTTCCTGACTAATAGGTCCACACTCGACAGGGGCTCAGCGCTTCATCAGCGACTGCCTCGGGAAGAACTCATCTCCTGCGTCTCCTCGCCTGGCCTTCATCACGGAAGCCGTCCTTTCCACGCCTCGCCGTCTCCACATTAAGGCGCCACAATATAAAAGTACTCTAATAACACCCACCGTTGTCTCATCTCGATTGACTGGCAATGCCTGTTCGCCACGCTTGCAGTCGTCCGGATGGCCCGCATTATACGCGAGTACTATGGAGCGCTCCATGCCCATATTCCCCGAGGCCTTGCATCCCCTAGGCGTCTAAGCAGACCACAATATTGAGGCTTACTCACTATCCCTGTACCTCTTGGATACATGCAGGACAAGCTGGGTATGCTGTGTTTGCGTAGCTTCTCGATGCTCGGCTGAAATCTAATGCTCTCATGCAGATCGTCCTCAGCGTGCTCGTGCCTTGCTGGAGACAGGAATAGGTAGGTAACCCAGCAATGACTTCATTGAAAAAGGTGAAAAATACGCGGGTTACTGGCAATGCAAGACTAAACATGACCTTGCAAGGCGCAACAGGAAACAAAATGAACTAGTTGACCTTAAAATCTATCTCAGTGTGCCCAAGCCTCCTCTATCTGCACTGTTGCTCTACAAAATTGACCTCATCTTTGACGTGTGCTCTTGTCCATTTCCAAAACCTGCACTATACCCGATTCCACGTCTTATATTCCAGAACTAGACTCGCAGTGAGTTTGTCCTAGCCATTTATATTACTAATCTTCAGCAACATCATACAATTGTATGCTTCGCACTGTAAGTAGCTGTTCCTTGCCCCATCATGTCCAGTGTTCATGCCTCCAGTCTGCTGTCTGAAAACACGCTTGCTATCTTACATGCCATGATCCACCCGCCTTCTAGCAAATACTCATAACACTTCTAGGTCTCACCTACCACAATGGAGCCCTTTCACCTACCGGAAACGGAGCGGAAGTTACAGTCAATATGGACTCATGTTTTGAATCTCCCTGATGTTGCCCTTGACCAGCCCTTTCTTTCCGTAGGCGGAGACTCTATTTCTGCCATGCAGATTGTGGGTCAGTGTCGGAAACAAGGAATGAGCCTTGGTGTACAGGAAGTGTTGCGCAGCCGATCCATTACCCAGCTTGCGACATACGTCAAAGATGTAGATACATCCTGTTTTGACCACGAAGAGGTTTTCGATGAAGACTTTGACCTTAGTCCGATCCAACAAACCTATTTTCAACGGCCAAATACACACGGTCATTTCAATCAGTCATTCTACCTCCGAGTAACAAGTCGAACGTCTGCGGTCGATTTCAAGTTGGCTGTAGAGCAACTGGTATCACGTCATCCAATGTTGCGTGCACGGTTCTCTTTCTCAAGGGAACACGGGTGGCAACAGCGTCTTACAAGTGAGCAGACCCCATTTTATACTCTGATATCCTTCTAGTTTCCCAATTTGGCATTAAACTCCTAGTTGTTACATGACTCACTCCGCGACAGACGACATCATCAACTCTTATCGATTTCGCCATGCCATAGTCACATCGCAAGCTGAGATCGATGCATTAATCGAAGAATCACAGCAATGCTTCAATCATGCCAAAGGTCCACTGTTCGCCGCTGATTTCTTCGACTGGGGTGACGAACAGTATGCTTTTCTCACAGGTCATCACCTAGTGGTTGATCTGGTCACTTGGCGTTTGTTGCTGGAAGAACTCGAAGAAATATTGAAAGGTGGTCAACTCCTTGCTCCTGGTCTTCCATTCCAGAAATGGGTAGAACTTCAGGTTGAACATGCAGAGTCATTGGCAATCGATGAAGTTATGCCCCCTGTTGAGATTCCTCGCCTAGACTTCTCTTATTGGGCTATACAACACGAAGACAACACCTATGGTAATGCAGGTCATACTAGCTTCGAACTTGGATCTGAGATCAGTACGGCTTTCTTGACAAATTGCAATCGCGCCTACAAGACTGAGCCTGTTGAGATCTTACTCGCATCTTTGCTCCACTCATGGTCTGCTGTCTTCAAGGACAGGCCTGTGCCTGCAATTTTCAATGAGGGTCATGGACGTGAGCCTTGGAATTCTGAGATTGATATAACAAGGACTGTGGGCTGGTTCACTGCACGTAAGTGTGCCAATATTTCATTGCTACCTTGTGACATAGCGTCTGAAGCTCGCCATGTCGTTGATAGACACGATATATCACATAAAGGCAAAGTTTTATGTGACCGGATATGACCAGAATATGAATATCCCCACTGGGTGCTTGGAGCCCTCCGTTCAAAGTGCTGTAGCTAACTTGGTTGTTTAGTATCTCCCATCCTAGTGCTGCCAGGAGGGAAGCCCACCGACACCGTCCGTAGGGTCAAGGACTTCAAGCGCGCTATCCCTGCCAATGGTCGACCTTACTTTGCGAGGAGGTTTCTGACCGCAGATGGTCGCGATCGATTTGCCACTCATTGGCCTATGGAGATTCTTTTCAATTATCTAGGACAGTATCAGGTATGCCATTACGAAACTAGCAAAACATCACTAAGCTAATAAATCTGACAGCAACTGGAAAGGACTGATGCCCTTCTCCAACCCTTGGGAACCATGGCTGGTGAAACTGGGAAGTCTGGAGGCACTTCTGACTTTGGTCGCGACACTTGTCGCTGGGGACTATTTGAGATCTCTGCTTTCGTCTTCAAGGGACACCTCAAGGTTGCATTCACATACAATCAGCACATGCAACACCAGGATCTTGTCCAGCAGTGGATCCAGGAATGCCAATCTACTATCACGCAAATGATATCTGAGCTTACCGTCCTTGACCCTAAGCCAACACTCAGCGACTTCCCTCTGCTCACGTTGACAGAAGAGAGCTTCTACAAGATGATCGATCGACTGTCCGAGATGGGCATTGAACAGTCTAATGTCGAGGATGTCTACCCGTGCTCCAGTATGCAAGAAGGGCTCTTGCTATCGCAAACTAAAGATACTGGATTCTATGCAGCAGCAACACTGCACGAAATCAAAATTCCGAGTGGCAATTTGGACTGGAACCAGATTGTTTTTGCTTGGAAACAAGTCATTGCTCGACATCCGGCGCTACGAACTGTATTTTTCGATGACGTAGGAACGAAGGATGGTCTATACAATCAAGCAGTTCTCAGAAAGATAGATGCGAATATCGTACATCTTGAATGCCTGGATGAGGCTGAGGCTGTGACCCTTATCGAGCAACAGCGTTCGACCGACTACGCACAGGGCTTGTGTCCCAATCACCGATTCACCATCTGTACTTCAGCTGATCAACGGATGTATTGTTCCTTGGAAATCAGTCACGCTATCATGGATGGCCATTCTATGAGTCTCCTCATGGGCGACTTTCAGAAAGCCTGTCTGGGCAGGCTTGCTGGAGAAGCAACGCCATACAGTGACTACATAGCGTGGTCGCTAAAGCAGCCCAGAGATGCCAGTATTGAATTTTGGAAATCTTACCTTGGAGGCAGCGATGTCTGCTCATTTCCTGTCCTTGATGATGGGTGTGTTGTGCCAAAAGAATTGGCCACCATTCGCATGGATATGAGCAGCATCGGGCTTTCGGATATGCAGAGCTTCTGCAACAACAATGGCATCACTCTATCTAACGTCTTCCATACGGCATGGGCACTGACCCTGAGTCTATATGTTGGTACTCCTGATGTTACCTTCGGCTACCTGACCTCTGCCCGCGACTCAGAAGAGGTACCCGGCGTCAACGAGATGGTCGGCCCCATCATCAACACACTAGTATGCCGTGTGGACATGTCTGACAGCTCGCGCTGTCTCCTGGATGTTCTCCAAAATGTGCAGCGTGACTACATGGAGGCCATACCACATCGACACATCGCTCTAGCGGATGTTCAACACGAACTGAAGCTAGCTGGTACAAATCTCTTCAACACTGCGCTATCATACCGTCGCCTGCCGCCAAACGAGATTGTTGATGACGAAAGCTTGTATTTAGTGGAGTTGCGCCCGATTTATGACCCCACAGAATACCCTGTCAGTATCAACATCGAAATCGGTGATGAGACTGCTGCAGTGGACCTGGACTATTGGACCGATCATCTTTCTGCTGCACAGGCGGCCAATGTCGCCAGTACCTTTGTCCGCGCACTTGAGAACATTGTCTTCAACGCCAAACGCCGCATATCTGCGTTGGATAACATCAGTCAACAGCATGTACAACAAATCCACAGCTGGAACATTATGCCGGAAACAATCAGCGAGACCGTGCATCAAAAATTTGATTCTTGGGTCAAATTGCAACCGGATGCGCCAGCTATTTGTGCCCATGATGGCGATTTTACGTATGCTGAGCTTGATGAAGTGACTGAACGTTTGGCACATCATCTTGTTCAATTAGGAGTCGGCCCCGAAGTATTCGTTCCCACTTGTTTCGACAAAAGTTGCTTCGCCATAGTGGCTATGCTTGCCGTGTTAAAGGCAGGTGGAGCAGCTGTTCCACTTGATGCCACACATCCAAGGCCTGCGCTCCAGACACGACTAGAGGATGCCGGAGCCAATATCGTTTTAACCACTCCTGAGCGCGCCGAGAAATTCGATGGCCTCGCCATGAACATCATCACGATTAATGCAGCTTTCCTGGCTAGTCTCCCAGCAGAGAGCAGACCAGTTTGTACCACTGTGCGACCAGAAAATTCTGTATTCGTAATCTTTACCAGTGGTTCAACGGGTCGGCCAAAGGGTGTGGTCCTCACGCACGCCTCAATAGTCACAAGTGCAGAGGCTCATGGCAGTAAGATTGGACTTGGTCAGGGCATACGCATGCTACAATTTGCCTCATACACTTTTGACAATTCCCTGGAAGAAATGTTCACCACACTACAAAGAGGTGGTTGTGTATGTGTCCCATCTGAAGCTGATCGTGTCAACGACATCCCGGGGGCTATCGCCCGGCTGAATGCAAACATGATGGACCTTACGCCAACAGTTGCTGCCTTACTGCATCCAGCCGAGGTGCCTACTATCAAACGACTTTGTCTTGGTGCCGAACCTCTTACCAAAGCACTGGTCAATCTCTGGAGTCAGTATGTCCACCTGTTTGGACAATACGGTCCTAGTGAAGCTTCAATCAACTCCGCTTTCAAGGACTTCACGCACGGAGGAGAAGCTACAAATATTGGCAAGGCTGTTGGGTGCGTCACATGGGTCGTCGATCCCGAGAACCGCAATCGATTGATGCCCATTGGGTGTAAAGGAGAATTGCTACTTGAGGGCCCGATACTTAGTCGAGGATACCTCAATGATCCCGAGAAGACGCAAGCCGTATTCATAACGAATCCGGAATGGGCCACCACTGAGGGTGCTAGTCCACGTAAATTTTACTGTACTGGAGATCTTGTGCAGTATACTTCAGAAGGTGAGATGATGTATCTAGGCAGGAAAGACAGTCAAGTAAAGGTGAGTGTGGCACACAAGATTTGTTGAATATATTCACTGACTATCCCAGCTTCATGGACAACGTATTGAGCTCGGCGAAATCGAACACCACCTTCGGCAGAACCTGCCCACGAGCGCCAAGTCCGCAGTTGAGCTGGTAAAGTTCAACGACAACAACAACACAAAGGCTTTAGTAGCCTTCATATGCTTCGAAGAACAGGGCGATGACAGTGGTAAAATTGTCTCCCCTGCTATTCTGGAACTTTCCGAATCAGCGCGTACGGCTGCTAAACGTATTGAACTAGCTTTGGCCAATGCTCTGCCGACGTACTATGTACCCGCTTTGTTTATGCCAGTCACAAGCATGCCTATGACAACTTCAGGCAAGCTTGATAGAAAAGTGTTACGAGCGCTTGCCGCAGCAGTCCCTGAGCTGGATCTGACCCCTTATCGCCTGGCTGGAAAGAGTGGCCGTGCACCTTCAGGCCACGTCGAGACTATGCTCGCTCGTCTCTGGGCATCAGTATTGAATCTTAGTCCAGATGCAGTAGGCGCTGAAGACTCATTCTTCCGCCTGGGTGGAGATTCAATCAGTGCAATGCGTCTAGTGTCAGCATCGCGGAAAGAAGGCGTCATGCTGAACGTCGCCAATGTCTTCTCGCAACCAAAGCTGATGGACATGGCTACAACGGTCAATATACTGTCTTCCGAAGACATGACTGCTAGCGCCCAGCCAGATTCAGCACCGTACGAACTCCTTCCGGCCAGTGCTCGACAGAGAATCATTAAATATGCTGCTGGCGAGTGCAACATCTCGCCAGACTGCATCGAGGATATTTTTCCCTGTAGCAAATTGCAAGAGGGACTGATCATGCTTTCAAGCAAGGATCCTGGTACCTATGTTGTGCAGCCTATTTATAGTTTACCAACAGACATCGACATGGCTCGTTTCAAGAAGGCGTGGAGAGATGTCATTGCTGAAGAGGCGATTTTGCGAACGCGCATCGTCTACACTGAAGATTATGGTTTCTTACAAGTGGTAGCACGGGAGAACCAAGAATGGTTTGAGTTGGCCAACCTCACAGAAATTAACGACGCTACTCGTCGGATCCCAGCGACAAATGGTGCACCTCTCACAACATTCACCATTGTTGGAGAAAACAGCACCAAGCCATACTTTGTCTGGACTGCACATCATGCAGTATACGACGGCTGGAGTTGGTCAGCCCTTTTTCGAAAAGTCGAGGCTCACTACAATGGCACTAGCCAGGAGTTACCAACATCGGTTCCTTATTCTCGGTTCATCAGGTACTTGACCTCGTTGGATCAAAAGGAGTCCGATAATTTCTGGTTGTCTCATCTCGATGATATGACCGCACCTCAATTCCCACAACTGCCCTCCTCAGATCATAGAGTAGAAGCGAATGGCCAATTGCTGCATCGAATCGAGATCATTCGTGATCGCAGTATCGAAGTCACAATCCCTTCCATGATTCGATCCGCTTGGGCACTCATGCTGGCAACCTACTCCGGATCTGACGATGTTTTATGGGGTGAGACCAATAGCGGCCGTGAAGCATCTGTCCCTGGCATCGAAAATATGATTGGCCCTACTATTACGACTGCTCCTGTACGAATGCGTCTTGACAGGCAACACACCGTTCATGAATATCTCAAAGAGACTCAGCGTCAGTCATCGACCTCTCTGCCCTTTCAATACGCCGGGCTGCAGCACATTCGGAAGCTGAGTTCTGAGACCGCCATTGCTTGCGATTTTCAAAGCTTTCTGGGCATCGAAGCTGGCGAAGACCTTGCGGATGCTGACAGTGATCTTTGGAAGATGGAAAGCGCCAACACCATTGGCACCGACTTCTTCAGCTATGCGTTGATCTTCAATTGCAAAGTTACCCCTGAAAGCGTGCACGTAGAAGCGCTTTACGACAATCGTGTCGTTGAACCATGGCTCATTCAGCGTCTCGTTCAACAGTTCGAGTTCCTTCTCCATCGCTTCAACTCTCCCGAATTACTTGATCGAAGATTGTTGGACGTGAACTTCATAAATCCTGCTGATACCGCATTAATTTCTACGTGGAATAGCAAGCCAGTTGACATTCTATATCGATGTATACACGATGTAATCACTGAGGATCAGACCCAAGTGCAGCCAGACGCCATTGCGATTGATGCGTGGGACACTGGCGCGATGACGTATAAGGAGCTGGATGCGCGCGCAACATCTCTGGCCCATCGCTTGATATCGATGGGTATCAAGCCTCAACAGTCTGTCCCTCTATGTTTCGACAAGTCGGGATGGACCATTGTGGCAATGCTTGCCGTTCTGAAGGCTGGGGCAACTTTTGTTCCTCTGGACTTCGAAGCGCCAATACTTCGTCTTCGCGAACTTGTTCTCGATGTCAACGCAAGTTTGATACTGTGTGCCCCACAGCTTGAGCAACTTTGCCAGTCTATACCGTGCAATACGCACGTTGTTGATCGGATCGCCACTGAGCCTTACCAGTCAAGCTACCAGTCGTTGCCCAAAGTGGACAGTGCGTCCAGAGCATACGTATTCTATACTTCTGGTTCAACAGGAAAACCAAAGGGTGCTCAAATTTGTCACTATCAATGGACGACATCTTCAACTGCATTTTCTCCAGGATGGAACATCAACAGATCGTCGAGAGTGCTCCAGTTCGCATCGTACACTTTCGATGCCTGTTTGATTGAGATATTCAGCACGCTCATGTGCGGTGGCACTATTTGTGTACCTGACCAAGCAGCTCGAACAAACGACCTCGTCGGTGTCATCAACCAGTTCAACGTAAATTGGGCCACTTTAACTCCATCAGTAGTGCGAATGATGCAGCCATCACAGGTCCCAACTCTCAAAACCTTGGTTCTCGTCGGTGAAGCCATGTCTCAACAAGATCTGGCCACGTGGGCCAACGAAGTAACACTTGGTAATGGTTATGGCCCTACTGAATGCTCAGCGATTTCGACCTCCAACATCATGACGCTTGAGACCATGCCGAACAACTTGGGCAAGGCTGTCACTTCACGCGGATGGATCGCTTCCCGAGATGATCACAACACACTACTCCCCGTGGGTGCTATCGGAGAGTTGCTTCTTGAAGGCGGTGCGGTGGGCGCTGGTTATCTCAACGATGCCCAGAGAACCACTCAATCATTTATTAGCGATGTGAGATGGTCCACAACTTTCCTCAACAATGACAAAACTGTCCCCCTTAGAATATATAAAACTGGAGACCTTGTCAAGTACCACAATAATGGTACTATTCTGGTAAGTCTGGCTTGATTCAATAATACCAGCTTGAAACTGAACAAATTAGTATCTTGGACGAAAGGACTCGCAAACCAAGGTCCGTGGGCAGCGACTTGAGCTGTCAGAGGTCGAACATCACCTCGTAGCCGATACATTAGTTCAGAATGCGCTTGCTGCAGTGCCTACAAAGGGACCATGTTCCAAAAGACTTGTTGGTATTGTGTCACTTCGAAACGTCGTTGTTCCCATGGGAGCAGCAGGAGTCCTGCAAATTGTGCCCGCAGAAGTAGGAGCTCCAAACATCACCGTTCTTCGCGACCGCCTCTGTGAGCGTTTACCAGCGTACATGATTCCATCACTCTGGGTCGCAGTTTATCAGTTCCCCCTGACATCTGGTGGCAAAATGGACCGCAGATGTGCCGTCCAATGGCTTGAGCAGATGGACACTAACACTTACCGCACCATCTCAACTGCAGCGGAGGAAGCCCAACCTGTGAATGCGAGCGACATTGAGCACAAGCTCCAGACAATTTTTGCGAATGTTCTGAATCTACCAGCGGAAGATATCCGTCTCAACCAGTCCTTCTTACACCTGGGCGGTGATTCCATTGCTGCGATGCAGGTATCATCGCAATGTAGGGCGCAAAACTTACCTATCAGCGTACAAGATATCATCCGCTCCAAATCTATCTCGGCATTGGCAGCCACCGTCGATCTTACTAAAGAATCGACTTCGACCCCACAAGCCGTAGAGTACCACCTACCTTTCGATGTCTCGCCAATCCAGAGGGTCTTCTTCGAGACCGTTGGTGACGCATACAACCATTTCAATCAAACTGAGATTTTCCGACTTTCTCGGAATTTCAGCACCGAAGAGATGAGAGATGCTTTGGCTGCGTTGGTCGCCATTCATCCTATGCTTCGAGCACGCTTCCTTCAGAATGATACTAGGACTTGGCAGCAGAGATTTGAGGTCAACACAGAGAATTCTTTCCGGCTTCGCCAACATCGTGTCACGTCTGCCAACGATAAAACTCTTACGCCAGTCATTGATGAGAGTCAGGCTTCTCTAAACATTACCCACGGCCCAACATTCGCAATCGATCTCTTCGATGTTGATGACACTTTTTCTCAGGCAATAGCTCTTGTAGCACACCATCTCATAATCGACATCGTATCTTGGGGTGTTCTTCTTGAAGATCTTCAAAACCTCCTAAATGGCGTCCAGCCGCCACCGCAAAGTCTTCCATACCACACTTGGTTGCAGCAACAAGCTCTTCAAGCCAAGCAAGAGTCTGCGCGACAAGTCTTTCCTCTCGGCGATATAGCCCCAGCGGACCTGGATTATTGGGGCATGACAGGCCAATCCAATATCAGCGGCGACGTCATTGAACAGGACGTTCAGATTAGCGCCAGGGATACCATGTTGCTGCTTGGTGCGCAGGACGTCTTAGCGACTGAGCTTCTAGATATCTTGGTTGCCGCACTGCTTGAGTCCTTCCGCAATGTCTTTGCAGATCGAGCTGCTATCACTATATATAACGAAGGCCATGGTCGTGAGACCTTTACTCCTAGACAGGATCTCTCCCGCACGATCGGTTGGTTCTCGACTCTCACGCCTATTGGTCTTCCAGTCTCTGAGGAGAAAACTGACACAATCAATACCATTCGATGGGTGAAGGAGTCCAGAGAGAGGATCCCTGATAAGGGCCGACCGTACTTTGCTTATAGGAACTTGACAGAAGAGGGACGCAAGGCTTTTGTTACTCATTGGCCGGCCGAAGTAATCTTCAATTATTTGGGCAAAATGCAGGGGGTGGACCGCAAAGATGCCCTGTTCACCTCACTTGAGGGAATTGACTCCCGAGAAATTGGCGATGATGTTCCTCGGTTGTCGCTCTTTGACATTACGGCCGCTGTCTCACAGGGTGCGATCAAGTTCTCCTTTGGGTGGAACCGACACATGAAACATCAAACGGAGATTCGCGCCTGGGTAAAGCAATGTCGACAAACTCTTGTGGATGCTATCGACGCTCTTCTTTCAGTACAGTCGAATCCTAGTTTGGATACTTTCAAGCATCTACCTTTACTATATAATGGTGCTTCTCGTCTCGCTGCGGCACTGCCTGAGAACATCAGCATCGCAGATGTCGAAGATGTATACCCTGTGTCGCCAATGCAGCAAGGACTTCTACTCACACAATCCCGAAATCCTGAACTTTACATCTACGATGCAATTTTTGAGGTCCTGCCATCGGATCGCACGCTATCGGTTGATGCGCATAGACTTGCAGAAGCATGGCAAATCGTCGTCCACCGTCATCCAGCATTGAGAACAATCTTTGTGAATAGTCTTGCTAAGACTGGAACGAAAGATCAGATCGTGCTGAAAGAGAAAGCCGGGAGGATACAGTTCTTCGACGATTGTGAAGATGGTGAGGTAGCTGACTTCCTGCGAGCCCAACCCTCCATCGATTGTCGTGAACTCCTTCCGCCGCACCGCATGAGTATATGCAAAACCAAAGCAGGCAAAGTTTGGGTCAAATTAGAACTCAGCCACGCTATCAACGATGGTACATCGATCTCAAATATTCTCAACGATCTCGCTAGCGCGTATGCTAGGAAACTCACTCGAGCAGATACTGGGCCTCTCTACTCTGATTACATTAGCCACATTTTGTCTAGCTCGAGGCATGCTGATCTTGCGTACTGGAAGACATATCTCTCAGGTGTAGAGCCTTGCTTCTTCCCTACGCTCAATGATGGAAAGTCTAGTCCTCATGAACCGGGATCCATTGACCTTCACCTTGGTAGTACCAAGGATGTCCAACATTTCTGCAAGAAGAATGGTGTCACACTATCGAACGTACTCCAACTTGCTTGGGCACTCACCCTCCACTGTTTTGTGGGTTCATCCGATGTATCCTTTGGTCTGGTAGCATCTGGTCGGGATATTCCAGTGAAGAACATTGATGAAGCCGTCGGATGCTTTGTCAATATGCTTATTGCTCGTCTCTCTTTCTCAGACGAGACTACAATTGCTCAACTACTCGAAAATCTCCAGTCTGGTTCAATGAACGCGTTGTCGCATCAGACATGCCCGCTTGCTGAGATCCAGCACGAACTCCAACTACCGGCACTTTTCAACACTGCTTTCACGTTCCAGAGAAGAAGTATCTCACGTGACCCAGAAGAGACAGCTCTGCTTTACGAGAACATGGAAGCGGCTGACCCTGGAGAGTATGTTGTCACGGTCAATACTGACGTTACCGATGAGGACATTTATGTCGACTTTGGATATTGGAAAGACAAGATTCTGCCATCGCAAGCTCAGAACATGGCAGATACATTCAGCAAGATCTTACAGGGTATTATAGCTACTGCAGATGGCTCTCCCACCGTTGGACAAATGGAATATTTCACAGCAGGCAGTCTCAAGCAGGTCATAGAATGGAATTCCGAACTCCCATCACCTATTCGACGATGCGTTCACGAGGTCATCCACGAACAAGCTCTCACCAGACCACGGGCAACCAAAGCGGTTGAGGGATGGGATGGAGCTTTCACCTATCAGGAATTCGACAAGCTTACTGATCAACTTGCTGTTTACCTCCAAGCCAATGGCGTCACGACCGAAACATTCGTCCCGATCCTGTTCGATAAATCGTCTTGGGCTATTGTCAGTATGATCGCTATCATGAAGGCCGGCGGCGCATACGTGCCACTCGACCCAAAGCATCCACAAACCCGCCTTCAAGAGTTGATCAGTGACGTGGGAGCGGGAATCGTGCTCTGTTCCCGCAACCATCATACGAAGGCCAGTGAAGTCGCCAACTCCGCTTTCATTATCGATCAGAGAGCCTTCAAAAAGCTCGCTATTCCAAGTGCAGCAAAGCCCAAGTCGTTGGCTACACCAGAAAATGCAGCTTATTGCCTCTTCACCTCGGGGACGACTGGTCGCCCGAAGGGTACAGTGAACTTGCACAGAGGATTTGTCACGAGTGCAGCTGCCTTCACTCGACGGATGAACATCAACGCCACCTCGCGTACATTCCAATTTGCGTCTTATACATTCGATGCTAGCTGTATTGAGATTCTCTCTGCTCTGACCGTGGGTGCCACAGTGTGCGTGCCGTCCGAGAGCGACAGGATGAACGATCCAGCTAGTGCCATTCGCAAGCTGAAGGTCAATTGGTCACTGCTGACTCCCTCTGTTCTTGGAACGATAGATCCAGAACGTGTACCAAGTCTGAAAACGCTAGTATCAGGAGGAGAGGCTCTCCCCGGACCCATACTCAAGAAATGGGGTACCCGCACGTGTTTCATCAACGCATACGGACCGACCGAATGTGCAGTCGTCGCTGCTACAAGTTACAAGTCCTCACTTGACCATAAACTTCTCGAGACAGAACCTGGAACAATTGGAACTGGGTCGGGAGCTCGACTGTGGGTTGTTCATCCGCGCAATCACGACAAGCTCATGCCAGTGGGCAGCGTCGGTGAGCTGATCATTGAGGGACCTACTGTTGCGCGAGGATATCTTCATGACGAGGTCAAGACTGCCAAAGCTTTCATTGAGAATCCTGCATGGGCACTTGCGCTGTCTGCTGAAAATCCTGCTTTCCAGGCCATGCGTATGTACAAATCGGGTGATCTAGTTCGTTACAACACGGATGGATCAGTGAACTACATTGGCCGAAAAGACACTCAAATCAAACTCAACGGGCAGCGAATCGAGCTTGGAGAAATCGAGTTTCATGTCGGAAAACATTTCCCTGACAATATCCAGTCCGCAGTGGAATTGGTAACACCCTCAAATCGTGGTAGTACAAAGGCTCTGGCCGTGTTCTTTGCCATTGCTCAAACTCAGCCAGCAGAAGATGCAGACAGGGACCAACTCCAAGCAACCGAAATGGACAATTTACTGGTTGATATGAGCGATGAGCTGCGAGACATCTGCAAGACGGCAGAGAATGGTCTTGCAAGTTCATTGCCATCATACATGATCCCCTCAATCTTCATTCCTGTTGCGAAGATGCCGTGGACATCGGCTGGCAAGCTTGACCGTAATCGCCTTCGCAACCTTGCCCAGTCCTTGGATCGCGAGGTGATGAGTACTTATCGACTGACGAGTATGGCTAACAAGAAACAACCTAAAAGTGAATCTGAAAAGAGGATCCACAGGGCAGTGTGCTCAGTACTGAACCTTCCGGCCTCCGCAGTTGGTATTGATGATAGCTTCGTTGTAAGTATTTCCAACAAGTGGGGCTTGCGGAGTGGAAACTGACTAAATATAGCGTCTCGGTGGCGATTCAATCTCGGCAATGAAACTCGTGGCAGCTACGCAAGTAGAGAAGCTTAACCTGTCATTTATCGACATCTTCAAAAGCCCGAAGCTTGCAGATCTTGCTGCTATTGTATCCCGCTCAGGATCAGAACAACCAATTGAGAAGCCTGTGGAGCCATTCTCGCTCGTGAAAAACCCTCTCACGACTACAGAGGTCCTAGCGGAGATTGTGCAACAGTGTCGTCTACCGATTGATAAAGTTCAGGATGCTTGTCCAACAAGCCCACTCCAAGAAGCGCTCATCACACTGTCAATCAAGCAGCCTGGTGCATACGTCGCACAGCACGTTTTATCACTCAGCAAGTCTGTGGATATCAGCAAGCTGAAGGTTGCATGGCAGCGCGCTGTCCAAGAGATTGATATCCTCCGAACACGCATCATACAGCTGCGTTCTGGAGCATTCATGCAGGCTGTGCTCACAGAGGACCGAATCGAGTGGCAGGAGCTGTCATCTCTCAAAGCAGCGGAGCAGGAAGCCGCCAAACTTCAATTGCACACAGGCGACAAACTTGCGTCGTACGCCCTGGTCATAACAGAAGGTACCGAGCGATACTTTGTCTGGACTATTCATCACGCCCTCTACGACGGTTGGAGTATCTATCTGATGCTACAACGCGTTCAGCACCTCTATCAAAGCGAGGGCACAAAGCCACCACAAACTCCGTACACCAAATTCATCCAGTACCTTTCAAATACGGATGCAAAGACTTCCGCTAAATACTGGAAGGACACTCTTGCGGGACACTCTTCCTATCAATTCCCCCAGAAGTCTCACTCTCTAGGAGAAGATGTCCATAGCGGACAGTCAATCCAACACAATGTGAAGCTGGCTCGTCATAAGCATACTGATGTTACTCCCTCAAATGTTGTCCGGGCTGCCTGGGCGTTGCTAGTGGCCGCATATACTGGTAGTGACGATGTCGTTTTCGGCGAAACCCTCACTGGCAGAGACATTGCTGTCAATGGCATTGCAGATGTTTGCGGTCCAGTCCTGACTACAGTTCCGACAAGGATAAAGCTGAATCGACACGCCACAGTGATCGATACGCTCCGCAGAATTTCGAGCAATGTGACCGATCGTATTCCGTTTCAACATTACGGTCTTTCCGAGATTAGGGCCATAGGCCGGGAAATGGCGGCTGCTTGCGACTTCCAAAATTTGCTTGTCATACAAGCTGACCAAGAGGACCTCCCGGACACTATGTGGTCTGTTTTCGACAACGGGGAGAACGGTAGCTTCTTCACGTATCCTTTGGTCCTCGAATGTAAAATGGGGAAAGACAATGCAGAGATTTTGGTTCACTACGACACGAATATCATTTCAACTTGGCAGGTCGAAAGACTTCTATACCAATTTGAGTCAGTCCTTGTACAGCTCAGTACCGTTCAGAATATCGGAGAGATTCGAGTCTTTAGCGATCAAGACATGCAATTGGTGCGCGAGTGGAACAATTATGAACCTCAGGCCCTAGAGGATACAGTACCTGCTCTCATTCACAAGCAGGCAATGTTCCAGCCAAACAAAATAGCCGTTTCTGCACATGACGGAGATCTCACCTATGCCGAGCTTGAGCACCTCGCTTCGATGCTTGCACAAGAATTGGTCAAACATGGCGCTGGTCCAGAAACGCTCATACCCATTTGTCTAGAAAAGTCGCGCTGGGCTATCGTAGCCATCCTGGGTATTCTTATCTCTGGCGCCGCGTATGTGCCGCTCTCGTCAGAGTATCCTGTTTCGCGGCACCAACAAATCATCGAGACCTGCAAATCGAACATCGTAGTCTGCTCCCCAGCTTACGAAGGTGTGTTTGCTACCCTTTTGCCTTGCATTATTCCTGTTAGCGAAGCGACTATTCGCTCACTTCCAGTCAATCCATCTTCAATGATTTCACGAGCTAAGCCGGAGAGTTCCTGCTATGTGATCTTCACATCTGGCAGTACTGGTGTACCTAAGGGTGTAGTAGTCGAACATCGCACCATCACATCAAGCTCAGCAGCGATATGCAACGGTCTACATATCACACCAGACTCACGTGTGTTTCAATTCTGCTCATTTCTTTTCGACGTGTCCGTCGGCGAAACACTTACCGTTCTCATGCAAGGCGCTACAATCTGCGTACCTTCCGATGAGCAGCGTGTTACGAACCTTGCCGATGCTATCACAAGGCTCAGCGCAACATGGGCGTTTCTCACACCTTCTGTTGCAAGCACACTTGAAGGGCCACAGGCCGTTCCCACTCTGAAGACTCTAGTGGCTGGTGGCGAGGCTATGACTGCACAGGTGATTGAAAAATGGTCTGAAGGCCTCCATCTATACAACGGATATGGCCCCACTGAAGGTACTATATTTGCCATCACGAATGACCAGGTTTCTACCCAATGCGACCCTTCAAACATCGGGCGTGTTCTCAAGAGCAGCAGAGCCTGGCTCACCAAGTCAGATGATCCACATCAATTAGCACCAGTCGGGGCGGTCGCTGAATTATGTCTTGACGGAGCGCTTCTTGCTAGAGGCTATCTGAACGATTCTCAGAAGACCACAGAGTCTTTCATTCAGAATCCTGCTTTTGTGGAAAAGTTTCCAAATCTCAATATCACCCGGATTTATCGGACTGGAGATCTCGTGCGCTACGGACAGGATGGCTCCATACATTACCTTGGACGTAAAGACGACCAGATCAAGCTCGCCGGTCAACGAATCGAGATCTCTGAAATCGAGCATCACCTGCAAGCTGACAGCGATATTCTCCAAGTGGTCGTGAGCCTTCCAGAAAAAGGACCGTGCAACAAGAAACTTACGGCTGTCGTCAACATTAACACCAAATCTGATGATGCAAATCCCAACGAGAGATCATGGAATATGCTCAAAGTTGGCCCTGAGATCTTTGCACATATCGACAAGATCAGAACTAGACTTGGCGATTTGGTCCCCTCCTACATGGTGCCAATGATCTGGATTCCTGTCATGGAAATTCCGATATTGGCCTCTACGAAATTTGACAAGAAGGAAGTGCGCTCGTGGCTAGAGACTCTGGATGAACATACATATCAACGTATCTTGGAGCTCGAAAGTAGCGGAACTGTGGACGAGACTTCGGATCCTACGGTCGTGACACTCCAGAATATTTGGGCAAAGGTTTTGAATATTGGCGTCGACGAGGTGAAGCCAAACAGGTCATGGCTCTGTGAGTATAACGGTTTTAATGCGCGACCTGAACGTATACTGACTCTTTCTAGCACTTGGTGGTGATTCAATTACTGCAATGAAATTCCTCGCCAGATGCCGTAACGAGGGTATCAGTCTAACCCTGAATCAAGTCTTAAAGGCAAAATCTCTGGCGCATCTTGCAGAGAGTGTCGAGTCAACAACGACTTCAGTTCACATTGCAGAAGAAAATGATAAACCCTTCGATCTTTCACCAATTCAGGAGTTCTACTTAAGCTCCCCGGGTGTCGAAGCGCATACCCATTTCAATCAGTCCTCTACAATGCGTCTCTCCAAGGAGGTTGACCTACCTAAAATCAAGCAGGCCTTCGACAGTATTGTCGCATGTCATTCAATGCTTCGCGCTCGGTTCTCAAAGACTGATGCTGGGAATTGGCAGCAGTATACTTCACGGGACATAACAAATGGATATGCATTTGAGGTTCACAATGTACCATCCTCATCCGAGGCGACGTCAATCATATCCAAGACACAGAAGAGTCTTGACATCTGGAGCGGACCCGTGTTTGCGGTCAATCTGTTCAACATCCCCTCGGAAAATCAGGTTCTCTTCATTGTCGCCCATCACCTCGTAATCGATGTAGTAAGCTGGGGCATTATCCTAGGTGATCTCGAAGACCTTCTCACCTCAGAATCGCCCGCCAAGCTACCAAAGCCGATCCCGTTCCAAGCGTGGTGCGATCAACAGAGGAACCACGCGATAGATCCTGTACAACAAGCGAGAATGCGTGAGAACTCCTTGCGAGTGCAGCCCGCAGACCTGGCTTTCTGGGGCATGGACAAACGCCCCAATGTATATGGTGATGTCGAAAGGGACGATTTCATCCTTGATCCTACTGTCTCTTCTATGGCACTTGACAACCACGGAGCCATGCGGACTGACGTCGTTGATCTCCTGCTCTCAGCCATCGTTCATTCCTTTTCAAGGGTCTTCATCAATCGTAAGACTCCGACTATTTTCAATGAGTCGCATGGCCGCGAAGTTTTGGGGTCGAACAACATCGATCTTTCCCGAACTGTTGGATGGTTTACTTCCATGTACCCTGTTACAATCCCTATCGGGGAAGATGAAGACGACGTTGTACACACTGTACGTCAAATGAAAGATTTTCGACGTAAGATAGTCGATAATGGCCGACCATATTTTGCGCATCGTTTCTTGACCGAAGATGGGAAACAGCGCTATAAGGACCACGAACCGATGGAGATTTTGTTCAACTATACGGGCAGACAACAGCAACAAGAAGCCAGCGACTTATCCATTCAACCTGTACAGTTTGCAGAAGGGGACGAGGATGAAACATCAGATGTTGGTATCAAGACTCCACGTATGGCTTTGTTTGAGATTTCTGCCTCAGTAGCAAATGGCAAGATACAAGTAGGCTTCATGTACAACAACAGGATGAAGAACCGGAAGGGTATTCGCAGATGGATTGCGGAATGCGAAAGAACTTTGGAGGAGATCGTCAATGATCTCGCTAAGATCAAAACACCACAACTAACCATGATGGATTTCCCACTCCTGTCACTAGAGTCGTACGACCGCCTTGACAGAGTCCTGATGACACTACCGACTGTTGGTGTGTCGTCTCCCGATCAAGTCGAAGATATATACCCTTGCTCCTCCATACAGGATGGTATGATCCTCAGTCAGATCAAGAACCCTGAATCGTACTGGTCCTCAACAACATTTGAAGTCAGATCAAAGACAAGGCCGGTCGATGCGACGAGGATAGCCGAAGCATGGAACGAGGTGGTACAACGACATCCCGCTTTGCGAACTGTGTTTATCGACAGCGTATGTAAGGGTGGTGTCTTTGACCAGATCGTTGTCAAAGATTGTGACACTGGTCTGGTGACCTACGAATGCGATGATTCAGAGGTTCAAAAAATGCTCAACTCAGTCAGATACAGCGACCTTAATGGAAAGAGAAAGCCGGCCCTTCCACATCAAGCGATCGTCATCCATACCACCACTGGCAAAGTTATCGTAAAGATCATCGTCAATCACGCTGTGATCGATGGTGGCTCACTTGGAATCATCGGCCATGATCTCCAAGAGGCATACGAACAGCGTTTGCCAGACACTGAGGGGCCACTTTACAGTGACTACATCAAATACCTCCACAGTCTTTCGGCAAGCGACGCGGTTAGCTACTGGAAGGCCAAGCTCCGTGGTGTTCAACCCTGTTATTTCCCAACTACAACCCAGCGTACCAGTACACCACGCCAGCTACGTTCCCTTGATATGCGATTCGACCGCTGGGCTGATCTTCACGTACTTGCAGAAACGAGTAATGTGACTTTCTCGAACATATTCCTTGCTGCCTGGGCTCTTGTATTGCGCATGTATACCGACTCGCAGGATGTATGCTACGGTTATCTCACTTCAGGACGGAATGTAACCATCGAAAATATCGAGATCGCGGTTGGAGCATTTATCAACATGTTGGTTTCGCGTCTCCAGGTCAGTCCTGCAACATCACTTCTTGAGGTGATCACCAAGGTCCAGACCGATTTTATTGAGGCCATGCCTCATCAACACTGCTCGCTTGCGCAGTTCCAGCACGATCTTGGACTCGCTGGTAAGCCTCTGTTCAACACTGCCGTCTCTATACAGAACCGCGTTACTACCGATGACATTCCTGCGAAAGATTCGGGTATAGAATTCGAGCAGCTTGACGGGCACGATCCCAGCGAATTTGCTATCACAGTCAACATCGATGCGACACGCAACGACGAAGCTGTCAGATTCACATACTGGAGCGATGCCATCACTGACGGTGAAGCAAAGAATGTCTCGACTCTTATGGCCAAAATATTGTGTCAAGCTCTCGAGAACCCCAATCAAACCATCGCAGAATTAGGTGTCTTCGTCAATAGCAAGACCGCTCAAGCAAATACCACACATCTCTCGCCCGCGAAGGCTCGCCCCTCCATATTGCGAGGACGTTCCAGTACTTCTCATACTTCCAGCTTCTCGTCAACATCTCCGCCTCGTACACCACGTATCACGTTCCCTGATCTGGCACCTTCGCCTCCACTCCCGTTTGCGGCACCGGATCAACCCGATTGGAGCAGTCTAATCCGATCTATTGTGAGTGAAATGGTACCGCAGATCGTAGAACAGATCGTAGCGAAGAATCAGATTGTCGCAAATCCGGCATCGGCTACCGTGGACCAAATGACTAGCCAGATGACCGGAATGTTTACAAGACGAGCATCAATACCGTACCGACGTAGACCAAGTGTAGATGCGGGTTCCATTCGGGCTGGGTCTTTCCGCGCCAGCTCTGGGAGACCCGGCTCAGTTCGCTCTCGTCGTATGAGTACCACAAGTAACGCAGAAAGCAGAATCCAGACAGCTGCTGATATGGTAGCTGCTGTTGGTGTTCTGGCCACGGAGGTTCAGAACGGTGTGGCGCCGGACTATGTAGAAAAGAAGTTGCTCGCTTTGTGGAGTGAGCTCCTAGAGTTGGTGGAGGAAACAGTCGAACAAGACGACAGCTTCTTTGTAAGATCTTTCTGGTTCGCAATCTATCCTCATACGCTGACAATAATTAGCAACTTGGTGGTGATAGCATACTTGCCATGCGGTTGGTCGGTGCTGCGAGAGAAGAGGGCCTGTCAATGACTGTGGCCGATGTGTTCAAAAATCCTACATTCGCTGACATGTCTCGCGTAAGTTGTTTTCCCATGTTTCAAGATTCCGAGCTCATTGTAAACAGGTTGTTCGCGTCGCTGGCGAAGTCATTGATGAAGTCATGTCCCGCGCTGGAGGCGAATCTATCACCGGCAGAAGCACAGGGGGACCATCACGGCCGCGCCTTACCCAGAAAGAGTCATCGCTATGGGATGATTTCCAATCGGTCATATCGGACTTTAATGTCGATACAAAAAGTGTGCCTCCCAACACCCAACCTGAGTCTGATTCGACCAAGAACGAAATCGCGTTCGGGAAGATGCAGGGCCTTGCGACTGGACAACAGCAGTCGCGTCCACAAGCACAGAATAGGCAGAACTCACGATCTCTGATGCCACAAACCATTCAAGAAAGCGTCGAGACCGCGCAAAAGTCTATCTCACTACTCGGAGATCCCAATGTCGACAGCGTCATCTCGAAAGTCCAAGTGTTCAAAGGCGGCATTTCAGACGTCTTGCCGGTGACTGACTTCCAAGCACTGGCTATCACAGGCACGCTCCTCGAATCAAAGTGGATGCTCAATTACTTCTACCTTGACGGAAATGGACCTCTTGATCTTCGCAAGCTGAAGCAGGCAGCCTATCGCATGGTACAGGCTTTTGATATCCTTCGCACCGTGTTCGTTCCTTATGGCGATCGATTTCTGCAGGTTGTGCTTAGGAAGCTCCAACCCGAATTCATCTTCCAGCAAACCGACTATGACATAGAGAAATTCACCAATGATCTGCGACAACGAGATCGCGACAATGGTCCCAAGCTCGGTGAAGCATTTATCCAGTTCGTTGTCGCCAAGCAGAAGCAATCCGGCCACTACCGCATCTTGATGCGACTTTCTCATGCGCAGTATGATGGTGTTTGCATGTCCAAGATTCTTGGTGCGTTACAAGACGGCTACAATGGTCTGCCTGTTTCATCGGCCCCTAGCTTTGGCAACTTCGTGAGAGAATCTGCAAAGGCGGTTGCAGGAGCTCACGACCACTGGAGGGAGGTACTTCGGGGATCGAAGATGACTGAGATTGTTAATCATTTCGGACCAAACTACCAGCGTTCAGCAGGTCGTACCGTCACTCTGGAGCAGAGGGTCACAGTACCCAAGCTTGCCCATATCAACATTACGAGTGCCACAGTTGTGAAGGCTGCGTGGTCCGCGACCCTGGCTCGCATAGCAGGCAACTCTGATGTTGTCTTTGGACAAGTCATCTCGGGTCGCAATAGCGGTGTTGCCAACGTCGAAAACATCGTCGGGCCGTGCCTCAACATGGTTCCTGTCCGCGTGGTGTACAGGCCAGAATGGACTGTTCGCGATCTACTGGCGTACATTCAAGACCAGCAAATTTCCAACATGCCATTTGAATCTCTCGGCTTCCGAGAAATCACTCGACATTGCACGGACTGGCCAGACTGGACAAATTTCTCGAGCGTACTACAACACGATCAAAACATTCAAGCAGACAAGCCAACAATGGTGCTAGGCGGCATTGAGTACTCCATCGGTGCAGTTGGATCGCAAGAAGACTTTGCCGACTTCTCCATCCATTCTACATCACGCGAAGGCAAACATATGGATGTCACCTTGACCTACGCCCCCAACAGCACAATCACGGCAGAATTCGCACAGCAAGTCTTCGATATGTTCTGCACAAACATCATTGCATTCGCAGAAGACCCTCAAGCACTGCTCCCATCACCATCCGATCTAGGCTCGCGCAGCTCCACAATAATAAACACCGACAAAATGCGCTCCAAGTCCGCAGAAAAACAGCCCGTCACCCTGCCCACCGACACCGGTCTATCCAAGCACGAACTCAGCACGCTCGCAACAAAACTACGCTCCGCATGGGAGCAGATCCTGCATGATGAGCACGGCGCGCCCGCCTCGATCGAGCTAGGCTCGGATTTCTTCCAGCTGGGCGGCGACATCATGGGGCTTGCGCAGGTAGCGTCGATTCTTGATCAAGAAGAGGGGTTCCGTGTAAGAGTGGAGGATATGATTGATAAGTCTGTGTTTGTGGAGCAGGTTAGCTTGTTGGCGGTTGAGCGCAAGAAGCAAATTGAGAGGGAGAATCAGAATCCGTGGGGTGAGAAGGGGAAGGGCAAGGTGGAGCAGAAGGTCAAGATGGAGAGGAAGGGGAGTAGTTTTGGTAATTTGGTAAAGAGGATGGGGATGAAGAGGAAGGGGAGTTCGAAGTAGGATGAGCTTGTGGATGCTTAATTTGTTGTAGCGTTGTTTTCTTAGTGAGGGGTCGGCGTTGGATGTTAGGAGGCATTGTGGTTCTGTGCTTTGAGCTTTCTTATGTTGTCATATACCCATCTACAAAATATGTCATGTTCCCTTTATAACTTGGATAATCACACTTTCGACATTTTTCCCACGCTAAACATTCCACGTGAATCTCCCTACACACCACACCTATTACCTCTCTCTATTCCCTGACGCATCACTCTTACTCTTCACCACACGCCCTCCCTCCCCCTCACTTGACACAGTCCGCTTCCTCTTCACACCACGCCCTCCCTCTCCTTCCACCGCCGGAAGCCCGCCACCTACTCCAGTCGCACAACCATCTAGCAAGCCCAAACCCCCATCACCATCCCCTTCTTCATCGCAAGCCTCAGTCTCACACAGAGGATACGCATAGTCAGTTCCCCCACAAACCGGACACGCGAAGGCTTCCGCCATCCATGTAAACGCCGGTGTGTCGCAGGATCTGCAGGTCATGGTGTCGATGTAAAATTGGTATGTCCCGTGGCAGGACATTGTGTGTAATTTATATGTTTCAAGAGAGTGGGCTGAGTTGCTGTTTGGAGTGTTATTTAGGAGAGGTGGTTTGAGTGGCGGTTGTGTTGCAGAGGTTTAGTGGAGGATGGGTGTGAAGGAGGGGGTTGTGCGTGCTTGCGTTTTTGTAATTTGGGTATTCTGCCTAATGATTGATTATTTTGCGCCTTCACACACGACGAATTCAACCTCTTAACGCGAATATCTTTCCCCATGATGTAATCGCTATCCTGTCTAACAATAGCCGTCTCCTTCCAAAGTGCCCAGAGTGTCCGTCTCAAAATAGGTCAAATCACAACGACGGTCATGCCCACAATGCAGAACTCATAAACTTTATTAACATAAAGGGCGTAAGCTACCATAAGTATGTACAAAACCCATGACAGAGGTTTCATATCCTCTCCAACACAATACTATCCCAAAGCCAACCCCTCCAGCGCGTCGACTCAATGACCTTAACGTCCAAGCTATTCATTCCCGCCTTCAACCCCCCAGCTGAGACTGGAAACTCCAACAGCCTCCACTCTCCATTCCTCGTTGCACCACGATACGTATCCTGACTATTCAACAGACTCTTGCTCGTGATATTCCCCACTTTAACATTGTTGAGCAAGATATCTGCGCTGGTGCCTTGCGAGAAGCCCGCGAGTGATAGGGTCAGCTTTGCAGCAGCGGTGGATGTGCGGTTGTCGACGGGAAAGTTGATACTCCATGTTCCCAGGCTAGATTGGCCAAAGCACCAGTCCTCTAGTGAGCTGGATCCGATTGTATACGTTAGGTTGCCAGGGCACTTGGCAATGCGGCCGTGTTCAAAGGGCGTGGGACCAGAGAGCTTGAAGCCATCGGTGCGGCGATCAAAGGCACCGAGTTGGAAGATGCGCTTGGAGATGTCGGCAATGGGCCAGGTGAGGGTTTTGATGTTGGTGTTTTTGCCTCGGCGTACGACGATGTCGTTTTGTGTGAAGTTTGTGGTGACGTCGCTGAGTTTGCCGCCGGCGCCCCAGGCGTAAAGAGCATAGGTTCCTGTGCGAATGTCTTTGATGACGAATTTGCCGTCGGCGTCGGCATACGTGGTGTAGTAGTATCCCTGGCCTTGGTCGAGAGTAGATATCGATGCATTGTTATTGTCACCGAGGAACACGGCGGCGCCAGATGCAGGGCGCCCGTCGCTAAGGCGTAATTGGCCTTGAATCTTGCCACGGGATTGATAGGCCTTGTCTTCAAACCACTTGTATGGCCATGCAGCTTCTTCCTTTTGCCAGCGTGATGCTGCGTCCTCTTTGGAGCCGTCGTTGAGGTACCATAGCCATGGACCCCAGGTTTTTCCATCTGCAAAGGCGTCACGGGAGACAGCCTGGAAATGGGTACCGTGGATCATGTTGAGTTGTACTGCGTCTCCGGTCTTGGACTCTCGGTGAACCTAGAAAGTGGTCAGCACTGTATTGCGTCTCCTGTGCCACGATATACATGCACCAGTCGACATACCATTAGCTCTTGCTTCGTCTGATCGCCGTTGAAGTAGTCTTTGCCAGGATTTATGTACCAGCTGCCGACTTCATCACCATATACCCCGTAGTACTTTTGGTCCCTGAGAACCCCAGACCAGTCATATTTGGTCAAGAAGGTTCCATCGGCCTTCTGCCAGGTCTCGTCAAAGACATTGGTAGCAGAGAGGTACTCTTCGAGTGCTGGAAGAACACCGTCCTTAATATCGTTCATGCCCCTAGGGAAGGAGGCGTTGTCCAAGCGCCAAAGTGTGCGAAACTCGCCGAGGGTGGGAAGCGCATGGTTGACGAAGTATTGGTAGGCGCCAGGAAGGCCATCGTAAATAACCCAATGGAAGTCGCCCTCTTTTGCAGTGAACTTGACATTGATCCAATCGCTTCCTGAGTCTGCAATGGCAGCAGATGTCCAGTTGAGGTCTGAAGCAGCTCCGTCTGTGGGGTTTGTTAGTCAAAGCTCCTACGACGTTCATCTCTTAGGGCATGGCAAACGTACTGTAGCTCACATAATGTCCCACCGCATTGCCGACACGGTCTTTTCCCTTATAGTACAACTTGTTGGCATACTGCCGATTCTGGGTGACATTCCAAATCTCATTGCCTAATAGCCACGTCGAGTTGCCCAGTTCTTTGAGAAAGCTCTTAGGCTTCCTCGCACGCTCCTCAAATGGCGCGGCTGTAATGAGTGAAGCGAATGCAGTCGCAAGACAAAAGAACTTGACTGCGCCCATTGTTGCTGTGAAACCGACGGTGTCCGGTGGAGCAAAATTTCCAGGGCGGCTCTCAAGATTATATACACCCAGCACAGTCGCGAATGGGACGCGTGCGCAGCATTTCGAATGATCCTTGTTGCCCCGGATTCAATTGCCCCGAAGTCATTAGGGGTACGGCTGGAGACGTTGGGTCGCGGGGTGATACCCCAGGACAATAGCTCCTTGGGTCATTGTTCCTGCAATCGGTCGCTTTCAGTTCTTGTGGCGCACCGTTGGGGCGTCGTTAAGTGCCTTGTCGCTTACTCTCAGGTGTTACCAGAGCGTCATCTCATTCAGGACCGGGAAGGTGTCAATAGCACGAATCACGCATCATCCATGGAGACTCCGCGGCGTGCTCAGAATTAAATGGCAATGAGTAGCTTGGGGGTGAAGAAGGGCCGATTACACCGCATGTCATACTGGGCATGCCACAGCCTCGGTATGACTTTGTCTTCTCTTCTTTCCAGAACCCAGGTTGATGCACGCGATCCCCCTGAATAGTGGATCGGGATTGCGGGGAGAAAAAGCAAGGGAGGCTTGATGGAAGTCGAAAAAGGGCCAGAACGTGTGTGGGGAGCGAAGACTGCTTTGGATCCGACACTAGGGAGGGCGCAGTTCATATGACCATGGAATTAGCGCTGCGTGAACTTGTATTTAGCATAGGGTTAGGCTATGCTAAGCTCTACTAGCTAGCTAAGCGAGGTTAACTAAATATTATACCGTAAGATTTTATAACGCGTTCTAAACCTATTCTAAATATATTCTATACTAGTAATACTATAAGCTGCTACTACTATACCTATTACTAATATATCCCTCTTATCCTATATAAGTAGATTAAAATATATTTAGAATATATTCTTAATAGGTTATAGAAGCACTATTAATAGTACCTTGCCCTTAGCTACGTCCTAGATAATATTAGGGCATAGCCTATAGTTAGCCCTAATAGGGTAGTTAAGATAGAGAGTAGAGAGCGCTACTACTATACTAAGATTAATAATAAGGGCACCTTATATAGAGTAAGAATAGGTTCTAAATATATTCTAAATAGGTTCTAATATTCTTAGGCTATTCTAGGTACTAGGGGCACTTTATATACCTATGCTAAAAAAGATTATAGGCTTAATATAGCCTACTATAAGGTTAGTAGGGTTAAGAAGACTAGCTAGCCCTCTATAATAGAGGTCTATAAGGTAAAGAGTAAATATATTATTAACCTATTCTTAACTTATTATACTAATATATATAGACTTCTATATAAAGGTTATATATAATTACTAGAATACTCCTTGCTATAAGTTATTTAGAATATATTTAAAACTTATTACTAATATATTTTATAGAAGTTCTCTAAGCCTAGCTAGTAGCTACTATAGGCCCCTCTATAAATACTAATACCCTCCTAAATATAATTTAGAAGAAGACTTATAGTAGCTATAATAGTAATAAAGTATAGCCTACAAGAACCTGTTAAAAACACGTTACTAACTTATTATAGCTTAACTTTGTTACTATATCTACCTGTTATGGACTGGCCTTAAGGGAGAATGCAATGAGCGTTGATAATAGTATTTAGTATCTTAAAGGAGAGGTAAGCCCTCCACGCCTTTTTATAGGTGTCTAGTGTGTTCGCTTAGTAGTAGTGTTAGACTTGGTCTGTCTTGTGTTAGACCCAGGCTTAGGCATAAGCCTAAGCCCTTTACATACCCCTAACCTTCCCCTATAAGCTATCGTGAAATTGTCTTTCTAGGGGTCTAAGGTTATGTCTTTATCCTCTATAATCTGTATTAGGCTTTGTTGCTATATTTTTTAGTTTTGTTGTTATATCTTTGTATTCCTTCCTAATTTGTAACGGGCCTGTATGTTAAGCAGTACGCGTGCGTGGCGTCTGTGCGCTTGTTTTAGCACCCTACTATAAAAGTTCTAATATAGCTATCCTACCCTACTATAATTTTTCTAACTTACTTTGTTATATAGCAGATTTTCCTAGCTAATTAGTCTTATCTCTACTCTTTTTCTATTAATCTAGCCTATATAGCCTCTATTATATCTCTATCTACTGCTACTAGTGCTAGTAGTAGGGATCTACTAAGAGGTGGTTAGACCCCGCGCTAGGCCTACTAAGATAAGGTGCGTACTTCTAGTGTCCTCCCTATGTTTCCTGCACTAACTTTTTCTTAGCACACGCCTCCCTAAACATGGCTGCTTAGCGGCTTTATTATTTCTAGTAACTTAGATAATAAGGAATACAATAGTAGCTTTGTAAAGCCGCTTCCCTGTAATTAGTATATTAACTAGCTTTGTCTCTTTAGCAAGTGTGACTATTAGGAAGGTAGTAGTAAGTTCCCCTTAATTTGTGTTTTCTTTGTAGCAAGTTCTAACTATGTCTAGGGCGTTTATGCGAGTCTTGTTGTTATAGTTACAAAACCTGTACTAGGTTAGAGGCTATACTTGCTAACAATCCTAACGTCCGCTAAGCCCTCCACAACTAGCTTTAGTTTTGTTATAGTTACTAGGAGGATCGCCTCTATATTATAAAGAAAGGGACCCTTAGAACCTTTATAGGAAAACCTACTAAAGGCACTTACTACTAGTTCGTGCTACAGTTCTACTAGCTCCGCTGTTATTTTAAGGATCTTATATTAAGGGCTTAAACTAATAATACTATCGCTCTACTTGCCCCTACTGCCTACTCGCGCGCCTATAATTAGTATTAGCTTAGTGCTATTATTCTATCTACTACTAGTGCTCTAGTGTTTCCCCTTTAGTCTGCTATTACGCCTTTACGTGGTAGTTATAGCAACAACAACGTTATGCAGCTTGCTGCCACTACTAGTGTTGCCTTCTAGCGTATTAACTAGCGTATAAACAAGACCTAGGCCTAAACTAACCTTTGCATTAACTAGCTTAAGAGCGCTGCTAAGCGCACTACCTAAGGCATTAAGACTCTTATTATTAGTATTATTTTTCCCTTATTCCCTTTGTATCTATTCTAACGTTTGTTTTCTTTAGGCCTAGGGTGCTGCGCGCTAGTAAGCTGTTAAAGCACTGCCCTCCTCCTAACGCCGCCACTGCCACCGCTTATACTTGTTAACTAAGTCGTCCCCCACCTACAACGCGCGCAAGCGCTACCGCCGTTACTAAGAGACGTAGAGGCGTTAGAATAATATAAACAATAGTTTAGGGGGGGCTAGGGGGGGGTTAGTTGCAGATAGTAATAGTATAGATACTGCTACCTAATTATTAGCTATATTATAAAACTTTAGTAGCAGGACACTTGCTTAGAGTGTTGTAAGGATAATTAAAAGATTTCTCCTATACCTTTCCACTTCTTAATTATAACAAAGGTCTAAGTTGTTATTCTAGTTTCCTTTTGCCCTTGCTTCCTAGTTTTTATACGCATTAGGCTATTATTGTGCGTAGCATCCCTATACTATTCCTTAAACCTGTCTAGAGCCTTAGCATCCTACACTACCTCTAGCGGGTGCTATGTTAGATTAACATACCCCTTCTATTTTACTAGGACTTAACGCTTCCCTTTTCCTCTTGCATTCTTTGCACAAAGGATCTCTTCTACTTCCTATTTATCTAGCGTTGCATCTTTATTTTCTAGAGTAACTGTTAGACCTAGTTATAAGTCCTAAAGCTTCTAGCTTAGCAGCGGGTTATTAGCAGCTCTCTCTAGCAGATCCACATGCACGGTCTTATGTAAGCTCCCTAGTAAGTCTAATACTACTATAAGTAGAGTAGGAACTTCTATTACTTTGTACTTTACCTATAGCTAGTTAAACTTTTTACTTAGTTAGTTTATCTTTATATTGCGTATTGTAAACTAAACTATATTGCCTTTTAGGAACTTTTTAGCTAGGCGTTAGGACTAGTTTATTGCTTCCTATTATTATTGCTATTAGAACGCGATAGTAGCTTGCGCTAGCTCTGCACCCCTCTGTAGGTGTGACAAGAACGCTACAGCCTCCCTATAAGGATTCTTAGGCTTTACTAGTAGTAATATTAACTTTTGTAGCGTGTCTATAGTATACCTATTTAAAAGTAGATTTAGGCTAACACTAGTTATGCTAGAGTCCCTATTATTAAGTGCAAGTTAGCAGGCTAGCAGGCAGTTAGGCTAGTTAGTCTGCTTAAAGCATACTATTATGCGCAGCACTGCCTACACTTCTTGGTTTGCCTGCTCTGTCCCGCTGTCTGTCTAAGGGTAGTATACAGTAGACAGTAACTAGTTTATCTTTATTATCTAGTATAATATTGTCTAGAAGGATCCTAACTAGTCTAAACCTTAGTTAGTGATAATAGAGGATAGGAAGCCCTAGAACTGCCACTAGTTATCCTAGAAGATCCTTGCACAATAATCGGCTGCTATAGAGACTATTGCTTTAAGCTAAACATATTTAGATAATCTGTTAGTAATAACTAATAGGGACTAGGGTTTGCTATTATCTTTTGTAGGTAGGTTAACTATAAAATCTATAGATATTTAGGACTAGTATTGTAACGCGACTAGTATAGGTTACAATAGACCCTATTAGCGCTTCTAGGAGATATAAGCACTATAATAATAGCAGTTTTAAACATACCGCGCAACGTCTCCTAATATTCTATCCTAATAATAGTTGCGGCGCAGTATTTGAAATATTGTGTTCTTTCCTAGATATCCTACTAAACCTAATTTATATGCTTGCTATATAATAGTAGTTATAAGGGGTTCCTATGTTAGCAACTAAATAACACCCCTCTAGAGCAAAGTACCATGTGCGCTAATTGCACAGTCCCTAATCTGTTGCTTTGTGTTAGCTAAAACTAGGAAAGACCTAGCGCCTTTCTAAACTGCATTAAGATGTACTTAGTATGTCTTATCTTCTAGTACTGCTTTGTCCTATAGTGTCTGTATATGCAGGTTAGCAAAGAGGCTAGCGCCCTTTAGTAACTTAGACGCCTCCTCTGCTTCTAACACTGCAACCTAAATTAATTTAGGGCGCATTACTAACTGCAGTGTTACTTTAGAGGAGTTTAAATCTTATAGTTGTCTGCTTAAGGCATTAGGTTGTCCTATAAGATAGCTAGGCCTATACTGTAGGATATACTAATATTTAGAAAGTTCCTCTGCCTAGTAGTACTATTGCTCGCTTAAGCTTTAAAGGCTAGTAAAGTACTCTAAGTTTTTATAGTCCGTGAATATTATAAACAGCTTGTGAACGCTCTGTAACTCTACTAACTAACTTTTAAGACACTCTACAATAGCAAGCAATTCCTTGTTGTGTATAGTGTAGTTTTGTCTCTCTAGCGTTAGTGCTGTAGAGTAGTAAGTAACTAGGCGCTAGACGCCCCTAACTTTTTGCGATAAGTAA